TGCTCATGCTCAGACTGCAACCGTGAACTGGCTTATTAGCAAGTACACCCATGACAGGGAAGGAAATTATAGAAAGGGGAAAACAAGGATAGTGAAGAGGATATGGAGAAGGAAAAACAAGGAAATACATAAGGAAAGAGAAGAGGATAAGTCAAAGGAAGAACATAGGGATGCATGATTGAAGAGCTAAGAGGATTAAAGATCAAGACTAAGGAAAAACCGTAGGGAAATACATATAAAGAAGGAGAAAGGGAATCTATCAGATTAAAACAAAAAAAATAGATGACGAAGGAGAAAAGGATAGATTGAAGGAGAAACAAAGAAATACATAAAACAAAAGAGAAGAGGATAGAATAAAGGAGCACAAAAGAAATACAAAACGAAGGAGAACTGGGGATAGATTGAAGGAAAAACCAAATATAACGAATGAGAAAAAGGAAAGATTGAAGAAGAAAAAAAATACATGACAAAAGAGAAGAGGATAGATTGAAGAAGAACACAGAAATACATAATGAAAGAGAATAGAGGATAGATTTAACCCGACACAAATAACGAGTATACATGTACACACGTACAGCTCCAGCAATCCAACAAAACTGCTAAGGGTAATACTAGACTCTGTCTCTAGTCGTTTGCACAGTATATTTGACTGAAGTGGCTAAACAGTCGTGTAAAAAAATATACGCGGGCTGGTGAGCATAATTATGAGTCTGTTGATAACGCCATCTTCGACGGCTTGGATCAAGTGTGGGGAAATTATAAAGGACCGTGCAGATTCTGGACTACAAGCATCACCGCCTGGCTGCCGCCACTAAAACTTTAAGCATCTCCGTACGGCGACCGCCAGCTGGAAACTTTAAAGTTGCAACTTTAACAACCTATTTTTGGCGGCAGCCTGGCTGAGCCAATTATAGACGTGCCGCCAGGCGGGGGGTGGATGGGCCGATTAAAGATTCTGGGGTAAAAGTCAGATCCCAGCCTGGCGCAAGCCGGCTGGGCTAATAAGTGAAAATTAATTGCACCAGCCAGGCTTCGGGCGGAATTGCAGCCTCGATCCGCCAATACGTGAGGCGGGAGCCAGCTGGTATCGATATTTTTGACGCCTCGCCTTAGTTGATTGTAATTCGCACATTTTCACTCCCAGTCATTTTTCGATGTTATATTGACCAACCTGTCAAGTTAGTATATATGTGCCGTCATACCGTATCCTAGCAACCCTGCGCGCAATAACACGTACCAATTGTTTGAATTGTCTTAGCCACGCGCATCTGTCGCGGAAGGCCGGGCGGCTTGAGAAACAAACAAGGCGTGAGATCACAATTATACTTGATTTTAGATAACAAAGTGTCATAAAGGCTATCTAACAGATATGGACTGGTAGGATGTGTAATATAACATTTCTTGACCACACAGGAGTTATGTTTTCTCTCGTGATCATATTTCCCTTTACGAAAGAATAACTTCCTTTGGCGGTCCAAAAATGGTTATATTACACACCTTATCAGTCAATATCTGTTAAATAATCGTCATCATAGTCCCTGTGTGGATTTCTAAAAGTATAATGACGATAAAAAGTATCCAGTACATTATTTTATCAAATATATTTGTACTATTCTATAAGTATAACTGGCATGCCATATTGCAGTTGTTATAAATGTTAAATACCACATCAGGACAATTACCCCTGGTCAATCATCCCCTGGAAAATTACCCCCCAGAAAAACTACACCCAAAGGACAATTACCCCCTGTCCTCCACAAGCTTTCTGATTGTTCAGGAATGCCTAACTTGAACTAGCTCGTGATCGCGTTCTTAAAAACTGATAGATGAATTCCTGCCCTACTTAGGTCATGTATGTATCTTGCAGAGCCAATGAATTGATTAAATTTTGAGGGTTACGAGCTCAAAGGTCAAAGGTCACATGGCTCATTATGTATGCACAAATAGTTTGTGATCGCGTTATCTCAAGAACCAATCGATGGATTCCGCCAAATTCAGGTCATGTATGCTTCTGGCAGAGCCAATTAATTGATTGGATTTTTGGGTCACAAGGCCATAGGTTAAAGGTCACGGGGCTCATTATGTATTCAAAAATAGCTTGTGATCACATTATCATTAGAGCAGATGGACAGATTACCATGAAACTCGGAACATGTATGTATCTTGCTGAGCCAATGAACTGATTAGATTTTGGGGTCATGAGGTCAAGGTCAAAGGTCATGGGGCTCATTTGTATGCCAAAATAGCTTGTGTTCGTATTATCATTAGAACCGATGGATGGATTACCATCAAACTCGAGACATGTATGTATCTTGCAGAACCAATGAACTGAGTAGATCTTGGGGACATCAATCAAAGGGTCACACATGTATATCTGAGAAATAGCTTGTAATCACAATATTCTGAGAACCTGTTAATGGATTACAATCGAACTTGAATTGCCTGTGTTTTGGTTTGTAAAATTGCCGTATGGCGGATCGAGGCATCATTTATGAACTGCGTGCAGTCGAACATCTATCTAGTTTTTACGAGTCTTGCGCATCTTTTAAAACAAATTTTTCAAAATTGAATATGTACCGTTAGGTCACGTGACCTTTTGTTTAAAATGTCAGCCCCCAAAATCACTAATTTTTGTGACTTGCATGTGTACAAAGCATACATGGAAATATTATTGTTAAAGTTGATACTCTAAGCAAATAAATGTCCCTTAATTTGTTACCTACGGCAAGTATATGTTATTTTTAAGTATTTCAATTACTTAGTATATCACAAAAAAATTCTGTCTACTCGAAATCCTCAATTGAAATGTCTAAAATATCCGCCTCTCTTTGCATAGAAAATCAGTCACGACGCTGGTCTACTATTTATGACCTCACGTCTGGGAGAGAGTATATTCACGTACCCGGATGTTCCATAGCAAACATGTGCAGAGTGATACGATTTTCTGCATATTTTTGTTTCAAAGGCTGAAAAGTCTAATAAATCATAATTCTATGTACAATTCTTTACCTTCCCCTAGTACTTCATAGTATTAATATCAATTCCCCTTTTAAAAATTATGACATATACATGCCAACGATGTGCTATTAGTCGATATTTTCACCATGTAATTTTTGTTTTGGTGTTGAAATCGGCCCAGGCACGGAGTGAACAGTAGCTGCCTACCCATGCACAGTTCATTACCATACACTACAGCGATCTCCCGATGGTTTCCAACTAGCGCACGTACGTTCCATCACAAGCAAGCAGCGCCTAGAGCAGCGGCTTGGTCTTACCTCCCGATTCTGCTCGCTCCACGAACGTTCATGCAAGAGCCGCATCACTCGCCAAAATATTATAGAGGAAGCGCGCTTGCATGATCTCGTTCAAGTTTGATATTTTACAACATAAAATGTTTAACTGGTACTGTATCCTTTTTTGAGGCAGTCACACACATCTATGATAAGTACTATCATAGTTCTAGACCTATTCGTTTTACAAAACTGCTCATGTACATCTGATGACAATATAATGCATCCGCCTATTCATAAGTGCACGATTTAACTTTAATTCCTAAGCAGTAAACTCGTCTTAAATCTCTACCAAATAGGTGAATATGAGGATATAAAAAGAAATCAGCGACTGGAAAATGCTGCTTTGTTATTCTTCATTCAAATGAAAACAGAAAATCCATCGAATATACTCCTTAACAACAACAAATCTAAGCTCTGACAGGATAGCATTTACGTAGGGATATCACTGCCATTCACTCTCACTGAGCCAATGACTCCCGTTCGTGACGTCACGGATAGAGGCCCGACTCTACGTGCACTTCCGGGTTTCAGACTTAGATATTTTGGTAGAGTTTACTCGAATAAATTCATTATTCTAAACTTGTTTTGTCGGGTGGACACCATTTGGTGTTATTATGGGGGTTAAAAGCTTTCTATTTATGTAATTATCTCAGTATTTGGGATTGTCTTAGAGTATCAACTTTAAACGGGGGCCATAATCCCCCCCCCCCTCCCCCTTGGTCCTAGAAATTGCCCTGCCTCATTAAGATTAAAGGGCAAGTCCACCCTGATGATAAGTTTGTTTTCGGGGGTAGCCACAGTGGTAATTTTCCAGTTGGGAATTTGCTGGAGGGTAATTGCCCAGGGATTAATTGTCCTACAACCGTTAAATACATGTGTCTTCCTTCCTGTTGATGAGAGCTTAATTATCCCACTCTTTACTTTTTATCATCATAGTCCCTGCTTAGATTTTCCAAAAGTATAAAGATGATAAAAAGTATCCAGTACTATACATTATCTTATCAATATATTTTTACTACTATTCTATAAGTATAACTGTCATGCCATTGCAGTTGTAATAAATGCTTAATACTGTATCAGGACATTACCCCCTGGACAGTCACCTTAGAGGACAATTACTCCCCGGAAAAATACCCCCAGTGGCGGATCCAGAGGGGCCCGGGCCCCTACCCCCTGGGGAAAAAATGTGTAAAAACACGTTAATTTTACCTTTTTATGGCGATGGGCCCCCTCCCCTGGTGCTCAAGGGGGGGGGGGGGTACGATTTTTCAAATTTTCGAGGGCAAAAGTAAAAATAGTGCTTACTAACCCCCCCCCCCCCCCCCCCCCCCCCCCCCACTGAGCGTCTTATCAGCCGGCGCCATTTAAAAAAAAGAGAATTATCGGTCGGCTATTTCGCCACTAAATATTTTCTCAGAATTGGGCCCCCCTCCCCTGCCGCCAGCTGGATCCGCCTCTGCCCCCCCCTGTTAATTAAAGGAGTTGTGCATCCTGATAATTAAGTTAGTTTAAATATAAGTAAAAACAAAATTCAGTCTAGTTAGAAATGGCATTTTATGTAAGGGGAAATAAATCGGGCCATACAATATGCGCACATATTTTACTCTAGGTGATCTTGTAGCTTTATTTTTAAATAACTATCATTAAAACATGCAAATATCATTTTTGTGTGTTGATATAAATTTAAGTAATTTTTTTTCCATATAGGTACATACGCCCAGGTGCTCTATCATCCACCTCTGGGGAAAATAGACGGTGAGTTTTTATTTCTATTGTAAAAAGTTTAAGGGAAGTAAAAATAGTTTTCAATTTCTCATATATTTTCTGTTTTGGAGCAAGGAGTGGGCATTTTCCACTTTAAGAAACCTATTTCAAAATAAAAATCCGGCACCACAAATAATGTACAACTCAAGGGCCACATAGCTTTCGTATCTACATACATATTAATGATAATTAAATCAATTGAAATACAAATCCTTGAGAGCGTTTTCTTCTTCACTATGACTGGTTTCAATTTTATTATGCCTCCGTTACAAAGTAGCCGGAGGCAATTATGTTTTCTGGTGGTCCGTCCGTCCGTACGTCCCATTCTCATGATGACGCTTCCTCAAGAACCGATTGATGGATTACCGCCAAACTTGGATCATATATGTATCTTGCAGGGCCAATGAACTGATTAGATTGTGGGGTCCTGAGGTCAAAGGTCATGGGTCTGATTATTTATGCAAAACTATTTTGTGAATGCATTGACAATACTGATGGATGGATTACTATCAAACTCTTGCAGAGCCAATGAACTGATTAGATTTTACGGTCATGAGGTCAAAGTTCAAAGGGTCATACATGTGAAAAATAGCTCTATGCAGGCGGAGGCATTATTTTCGACCGCGCGCAGTCAAAATTTCATCTAGTTTCTTTCAGTGAATACAAAAAAAAATTTACAAACAAATGCAATAGCTCGATTGTAACCTTCCCGAGAGCGTATAAAAACAACTATGTTTCGAAAATTAAAGCAGTCATTAATACTTTCATATACCGAAAAAGGGTCATAGAATACATGTGCGACTTACCAATCATGGTAATCAAGTTTGTTTACGCTATCGAGACAGCAGACAGTGTAAGAGCACAATTAGGTACATATGTGTGTGGGACTATGAATTCAAGTAATTCATCTACTAAATGACTATAACAGACAAGAAACAAGTCAAAGGTACATGTAAGGACAAGAATCAGTGCTTATCACTAATATAACAGAAATATGTGCATGAAATACCATCAGGAAAGCTATCTAAATTTGTCAGAAATTAGTACAAACACACCAAAATCAGCGCTGCAATGACGCACAAAACGGCGTAGAATTCAACTTTTCATCCACCAAATGAATTTAAACACTTGCATTATACAATCTTCAATACCTGTATCACCGTTATCGCATGCAATAAAATCACAATCTATATCTAGACCTAGATCTACGGCTAATAATAAAACGTAGGGCCTACCCTGTAGGTGTTTATGCTGTCTATCGACCAATTCTTCGCACACACACACAATGTATGGTATCCGCGATCGCTCAAACCAGTTTTTAAACAAGACTGAACTATTCCCGGTAACTTGAATTTTACTCTTGAACTATTACATCGGCGTGGCATTTTTCGTTTATTTACGGGAATGGCTAAAACCATGACTGCAATTTCGACCAATCAGATGGCTGGATTTCTTAAGTGAGGTATATTATTAAAATCATGTCACGACAATCTCTCCATTTGTACTATATTGTACACTTTTGAGTTCCCCCTTTTCTGTGGCCGAGTTGAACAGTTTCTTTAAATTTGGTGCCTGTCTCCTACTTGAAACGTATTTAGCTTTCCCAAATATGTTTTTGAGATGAGAATCTTTAGTTAACTCATATCCTGCCATGAGGCGGCATGCACGCTACCGCTATATAGTGCATCATGTAGACACGTGAGCGCGCTTTCGATTGGCTGCTAATTCACGCGAGCGAGCTACCGCTTCGCTGCTTCATGCATGTTTGCTCTTATTCGTAATGGCAGTTATTATTCATGCCCATTGTACTGTGCTGATGCTTCCCATCAGATTATCTCAAAATAAACTTGGCACAGGGGGTATTTGTGGTTTGGCACAATGGGGTTTAGCCCTATGGCTGGATTTATTATGGCAGGATTAGAGTAAAAAGGGGGAAGAATTGTTTGATACTGTTTGAAAAATTCCAACTATATTTTCTTATTGTTTCGTTGCATTTGTTTGTAATTTGTAATTTTGAATAAGATGTAACAATATGAAAATATAATGTGATAATTCTGTTACCAAGCAACGCGCAATTTTAGCGCAATGCGCTCATACACATTGTTTGTATATTCTAATTTGTAATTTTAAATTCACTATCAGAAAAAATATAATTGAAACCGGTCATAGTGAAGAAGTGAACTCCCAAGGATTTTAATTTCAATTGTTTAAGTTATTATTTGTATATTAATTGCCATGACAGACGATTATCCAAATTGAATTCTTCACTCTCTTATATATAGTAATATATGTACATCTTTTATATTGAGTACTATGAACTGCAATAAAATTTTGATTTATTTTTCATATAGGAATTATTTCTTATTTCGAACTGGAAAAACTTGTCGAGAAGTTAGACATTGGATCTTTGAGTGAAATTGTGGCGGAGTTGATAGAGGAATTCAAAGGAGAACCGGTTTCTAAACTTATTAAAGCTGATCCCTATAAACGCTTGTGCGAATGGAAGGAGAACTCGTCTGGGAGTGCCATTTTGCTCTACGCTGCAATGGAGAAAAATAATCTTGAATATGAAGGTACCTCTTCTTATATTACATTCATTCTTATTTGTTTATTAGAATACCATTTCTTATGGAGAAATTATTATTATATTATAAATTATATTATATTATTATATTCCTACTTGTTTATTAGGGTCAGTGTCAGGAAAAGAATGAATTCAGAAGACCGTAGTTTATTCTCTTTCAAATAAGAGACGTCTTTTAAGGAGTTTTATTTAATCTGTATACTCAGAACCAGAACAATACCGGTCCCTATGGGCATCGACTGATTGCTAACCCAACAACTAACTGCACACGCCATTGCAGTTTGTCTATGATTACGAAAAAGAAACAGGGAAAGACTGAAACAGATTGTCCATGACAGCACCAAATTCAAACCAATGTCACTGTCTTCTGTGCCACGCAAGACACGTCCGATCCAGTTCAAGACATGCGGTCGATGGTGGTCTTGAGATCACACCAGGTTTTGGCCATCAATAGAGGAGAATTAAGAGTTCCAAGTCAAACCATTGTTCAACCTCCATTCAAAAAGGAGGTAGAATTCAACGACATGGCTGCCAAAGAATCTTTCGGGGGTATTATCGATTCTAATCTAGACTAAAATACGCAACGGTTATTATTGGGTCGTTGCTACCGAGGCACCGGTGTGCGGGGGGGGTGGTACTCTTAGCTGGCCCCTCATGAATCCTCAAAAAGGGGCTTCCCCGACTCTCACCTGGATCGACTAGCTCAAAAGAGTAGCGGCGCAGAGGTGGACCACCCAAGGCATATTTGCCAGGACCCTCCGGCTGTCCAGCGAGTTAGTAGTACACCTCCTCACTGCCCAGCCTGTGTTAGCACAAGAGGTTCCTCCATCATCCTTTTCAAGCCTATTACCTATCGAGCCTTTGTCATGTAGGAAGACGCGTCGCGAGACTTACGAGAGTAGACTAGGCGGCTGGACGCGGCGGTGCATGTTTGTCCTAGGCAAAGGGGATTTAGATGGAAAGCAAGTATCGAGGATAATACAATCATCCTAAGGGAACTTATCTCGAAATCAAAAAAGAATGAGGAAGAATCATATTATTGTTGAACCTCAATGGAGACGGACGTACTGCTGTAACTCTCTTGCTTTTTGGCCACCGCCCTACCCTTGTTCCCGGTTTTCTGACTTTCATTTCCATATTTTCGTCTAATTTCATATGCAGTGACATTACTCAGTGATATTACCTATAATAAACACGGATTTCGGAGTTGTTTTTTGGCGTCCTTACGTTAATTTGTTTGTTGTCTTACAACCGAGTAGTCAGCACGGCAAACCGCACGACAAGGCAAAACAACGATCGAACCACTGCCGCCCATCACACCCAACCCGCTTGCTTCGATGCCGGCCAACACGTGGCAGACACTAGCGAAGTAGAACCCCCCGAACTCACTTTATCGGACATTCACCAGAGTATTACCAGCTCTTCAGCTATCCTAAATGCTAAGCTCGATTCACTTACGCGAGAGAGTTTTCAGTCATCACAACAAAACTTACAGATTTAGAGAATTCTGTAACAATGAATTCTGACAAGTTAGCCGAAAAAGAGCAGAAAAAGCTTCCCGACATAGAAAGAAAGATGGCCAACGAAATCTCTAAGCTCCAAGACAAGCTGACGCTTATGGAAATTTATGGTCGTCGCACAAATCTCCTCTTCTATGGAGTGATGGAACCTCAAAATGAAGTCGTCATGCACACGCTTCCCGATACGTTCATCTACCTTGGCATCCACGTCGACAACGCCGCAAACATCGCCATAGTGAATGCCCATCGCCTTCCCCGGCGCGACAACATAGCACCAAATCAGGCCAGCTGACCACCGGCCCCACGCGCCATCATCGCCAAGTTTGTCTATATGGAAGATAGAAATAAAATTCTTGCCGTGTTTGATGAGCAACGCCAGCCACGGGATTCTGGCACAGCCGGGCCTGGGCCAGACCGACAAGCCCGAAGGATCACAGTCCGTACCGATCTTCCACCCGCCCTCAAAGCCAGAAGAAGTATTCTCGCCAACATTGCCTACACTCTACCAAAAGAGAAAAATGTGTCAACAAAAATATCTGTGAGTGGAACCAAAGTGTTACTTCATTGGAAAAAAAAGGGAACCGGAAATTGGAATCTCCACAGAGACTAGAACTTGTTGTTCAAGAAGGATCGATAGGGCTACCTCTCTTGTAAGCGTCTACATGACTGTACAACTAGTTTTTAATTTCCTAAAAGTAAAACTGATCTCTTGCCTTTAAGTTCTTTTTATATCCTATTAGCCCTACTTCTTTCAGTAAATGTACCTCTCACCATTTACTACAGTTATGTTATTCAAATGATATCAAACTTAGATATCTTGAAGCCCAAGATGCGGCGTACAATTTCATTTTGAAGTCTTAATTACATTTAAACTGCCACATGCACTAGCTGTTCTAAATCCTAACTGACAATTATTTACAACTTGCGGTAGCCTAGCTCATTTGAGTTATTCTACCTTTAAAGTGGCGCTACCACTACTGTACGTACTTGTAAAAATGACAACATATAACCTTTTAATAAATCGATGCTTTTTTAATATAAATCAACAAACAAGCAATTCTTTCTCTCAGTAAATGTATCTCTAAAAATTTAGATGGTAGATTATTATTGATTGGCAGGTAGTATATTGCACAGGAAAGACTTGAGGTGAAATTTACACTTGCAGAATTTTGTGTAACATACAAGTTTGGTGCTATGTACCACAGTAGAATGCAGAAATTGTTATTCTAAGTTAATTGGTATCAAATTTAGATATCTTGAATCCCAAGATGTGGCTTAAAATTTCATTTTAACATTTTGTTCATGTTTAAACTGCCACATGCATTTTTATCTCAACAACTTTAAAACTCGCAGTAGCATATTTGAGTTATTCTACCGTTACTACCACAACCATGTACAAATGACAATGTCTAACCTTTGAACTTAAATGGATGCTTATTTATGTGAATCAACAAACAAGCAGTTCTTACCCTCAGTAAAACATTTACTAAATTTCATGTTATTACAATGTTCAACGATATCAAACTTAGATATCTCGAACCCCAAGTTGTGGGTTAAAATTTCATTTTGAATTCTCTGTCAAAGTATAAACATTGACCTGATTATTCTGTATAACTTGATGTAGCGAAGCATATTGAGTTATTCTATCTTTTGAAGTGGTACTACCACAACCATACGTATTGTGTATTTAAAAAAGTGGGAATAAATGTCAATAATTGAAGAAAAAAGGGGAGGAAAATCCTTGTTGATTTTACTGTTCTGATTAACCCATAAAAGTCATCTGTACGACGCATTATGCATGTAAAATCCATGCCTGCGAACGGGAGGGGGGGGGGGGGGGTGGGTGGCCAAATTCAAATCAAGAGCTTGCATATATTTCTGCTCATCATGTTCGCAAAGTATAGGAACATTGTATGTTTTATTTTAAGTCTTTTTTTTTTGTATGCCGTGGTCAAAAGCATTGATTAAGGTGTTCTGTTATTCCCTATGTATTTTTCTTGCCATGCCATACGCATACCTGAAGTGGTGTATACAAATTGTGTTTAAATGTACCAAATGTCAAATTCCTAAATTTTTGAGGTTGATAAGTAACAATAGCTCAGCTGGTATTTTTGTTATACGAACTAGTCACTTTTAGTTTATTTACTTCTGTGCTTATTCTTCTGTCATGTATTCTTCTGTCTTTTTTTCTTATTCAGTGTTCTTTACATTCAATGCCTAGAGTTAAACAGATTCCTTAACAACTACTCACTTCGCCAAAATTTCTCTGTTATACATGTATATGATGAATGATGTAATTAACATGAAAAACACTCAAGATGCCACAATAAATGTTAACTTTATGAATAGTGAAGAGGGTGACAACTCAGACATAGCAGCATTTCTAAATTCAACAACTCCTGAATTGCAGCTTGAAATCGATTCTAATGAGATTTTTCCTCAGCATTTGTTTACTGGTTACCTCCTAGAAAAAGAGCTTACGTCATCATCCTATTCAAATTCTAACCAACTCTTTGCCTCACATTTTAATATCAGGAGTCTTAGCAAAAAATTTGATCAGTTCCAGCTACTCATTAACGATTTAAAATGTAATCACGGAGTCATAGGTGTTTGTGAAACCTGTCTTAATGAATTGTCACCTTCTTCACTATTTGATATTCATGGTTACAGACTTATAACCAGTGACAGGACCAATAAAAGGGGAGGTGGAGTTGGTTTTTATGTCCCAAAAAACTTGAACTGTGAGGTGTTAGTTGAATTTAGCCATATGTCAGAAGCCATCGAAAATATCTTTATTGAAATTAAAGTTCCAAACAAGGGTAATTTAATGGTTGGAGAAGTATATAGGCCGCCGAATTCAAACCCTATTGAATTTATTGAATCACTTCACGCCCTTTTATCAGAGAAATACTTTGAAAACAAGACATGTATTATTATGGGCAACTTCAATCTCAATATTTTGAAATGTCGAGATAACCACAACTGTCGTGATTTTCTCAATTTGATGTTGTCTAAATCTTATATTCCTCTCATCAGGAAACCCACGAAAATATACGATGTTACTTTTACACTTATTGACAATATTTTTGTAAACAATCTATCTTCCCTAGTCACTTCTGGTATAATTGTATCTGATGTTACTGACCATTTTTCCATTTATGCTCTCATATCTTCATTCATGACAAAGAATTCTGATCGTTCGCATACTCCTAATATTCGTGTAATGTCAGAAACAAATCTCAATAGACTTAGGGAGAGATTGAGATCTGTTGACTGGTCACCTGTTTACAATCATAGTGATGTAAACATTTTGTATGAAAACTTTATTTTATTTATTAACATCTAACTTAAATTCAACCATACCTCTTCAGAAATCAAATTTTTCCAACCATAAAAAGATTCCTAAAAGTCCTTGGATCACGAAGTGTCTCCTTAAGTCTATTAATAGAAAAAATAAACTCTTCTATAAACACAGACAAAATCTGAATGCTCGAAATAAGGCTCAATACGCTCATTACCGTAATGTCCTCACATCGTCTTTACGTTTATGCTAAACAATTGTATTTTTCACGCCAGTTTGAAAAGTACAAATTTGATATAAAGAGTATGTGGAGGGTGATTAACGAGGCTTTAAAAACTAAAAACAATACCGATCCCCCTAAGTACATGTATATTCTTAAGAACAATTGCAAAATCGATGATTCCTCAGCCATGGCTGAGGTATTCAATGACTTTTTTGTGAATATAGGACCGAATATTGCCAATACTATTCCAAAGTCAAATTTAGAGTTTCAAAATTTTCTAAAAGCCCTTAACCCTCAGTCCCTTTTTTCACACCAGTTCTAGAGATTGAAATCAAAACTATTAACCAATCTAAACACGAAGAAGGGTTCGGGATATGATGGAATCACAAATTTCCCTCTTAAAAATATTATTGATGAAATAATTTCCCCTCTCATATTCATTTTGAATTTGTCTTTAACCACAGGCAAAGTCCCACAAAATATGAAAATAGCCAGAGTCTTCCCTATTTTTAAAAAAGGTCAAAAAGAATCCCTCAATAATTATCGTCCGATTTCACTCTTAACATCCATTTCTAAAATCCTTGAAAGGTTGGTACACACCCGAACGCTAAATTTTATTACCCATAGCAAAGTTTTATGTGACTCTCAGTTTGGTTTTCGAAAGAATCATAGTACAAGTCATGCTTTATTATCTTTTAAAGACAAAATAGCCCACGCAATTAACAACGTTTCTCACACTATTGGGGTTTTTCTAGATTTTTCAAAAGCATCCGATACGATTAACCACGATATTTTAATTTACAAGATACGTCATTATGGAGTTCGCGGAGTGTTTATTATTATTTCCTTTTTATTTTTGATTCATTTAGACTGGTCACTATTACATGTATATCCGTCCTCCATTTATTACCACAAATACTTTACTGGGGCCTACAGCCTTACAAGCTTGCTTTCATGTAGGTCCCATCATATTTCTCTTAGTTAAATCACTTTCATATTGACCCTGCACTTATCTTTGTTATTATTATGTATTATTGGAAAAGAAAAAAAAAAATTGTACTTCATTTGAAACATATGTATGTTTATGAGACATATGAAAATAAATGAAATAAAAGTATTGCAGGGGAAGAATACGTACATTTACGACAACAAAAACCTGTCAAGGGATCAATTCCTCTTTGTCTTCTTCTATCTTCTTTCAGACTTCTTGGCAAGCATAGACAATGCGGTTTCTGATGACGACTTAGAGCACATTTGTTGGCACGTTCATAGCTGTATAGAGACAGTTCAACCCATAGTAGATTATTCATCCACTAGCTGTACCAAGCCTATAGATAATGACCACATCTCAGCACCATCTAGGTATGATGAAATTTGGGACGACCTCGAAATTATGAAGAGATGGAAAGCGATGTCAGCCATGACAACATACGGAGATAAAGATGAACATTGTGACGAGACAGTCACATTTCTTCCGAAGTCCGGGGAGACAGGCTTCAAAAGCAAACATACAGAATCAATGCCATCAAATCGGATGATACAACTGTGTCGTGCTTTAGAGAAAGCAGGAAGGACTACTGGAGATAGCGACGGCCAAGTGTATCGTCAACTCTCCAAGACATTTTATAAGAGTAAGATTTCAATTTTCAATTTCAATTTATTTTTTCCATCTTTAAAAAACGAACAAATATAACATAGTATTGACACATTGTATTAAAATAATAATATAAAAATAAACATGGAGGGATACCCTTAATGAGCAGGTTGCTTGTAGGCAGGGCCCAGATATACAATTTAAAATTTACAACTTTGTTAGAGAAATATTAAAACATTTGAGAGAATTATAAAACAGCAAAATTAAATATAAATCAGGAAATTGCGATCACCTAATAACGGCTACTATAAATAGACAGATACAGGTACACGTCCACACACAGACATACATACACCCTAGCATACATAAGATGATTTTGTTAAAAGATTGAGCCCCAGTTCGCCACTTATACATCCGTGGGCAAGGCAGTTTTATCTTCATTGTTCCCCTCCAACCAGCCATTAAACAAATATCCAATAGGAAAAGAATTTCATTGTATTTGGATTAGCATGTGTGCTCCTATAAAAAGGCGACAACATTATGCTTCTAAGTGAATTGAGAATGTGCACTGTAATGTGATGATAAAAGATAGATAATTCTCAGTTTCGTTTTTTCTGGGACGCACTGTATACTCAATATGCGATATATTAAATGCATCTTTTGATCAAATTTTAGTTCGAGGGAAGTACAAGAGCCAACTGACAGACAAGGTCTTGAAGGAGTTTGCTCTCAATATCACCAAACGACACTGCCAGAGACTCGGAAAAACCTTCAGACTCTCTGCAAGTGCCATAGCTAACAGGAATGAAGAAGACCTTGAGATGTTCAGGACGGACATCATGCTCAAGGCGTGGGTGCTGGATCAAAAGTGCAGTAACCACGAAATCAGGTGCAGATTGAGACAAGCGGCAGAACAGTGCAACCACTCGTATATCGCAGGTATACTCTCGTGGCTGTATCGTCAGATTGTGAAGGTGTTGTGGTATAGTAGTGGTTCATTCACTTGACTTTCAATTCAAGGGTTGTTGGTGTGAATCCACATACATTTATCACTCTTCACCCAGGTGTAAATAAGTACCTGGTACAACATTAAAGCTGATGTTGCTTCCCTTGGAAAACAAAATTATTATTATTATCAATATTTGTATGCCTCCGCTACAAAAATTATGTTTTCTGGTGCATGTCCGTCCATATGTACGTCTGTACGTCCCGTTCTCGTGATCGCGTTATCTCAAGAACCGATTGATGGATTACTGCCAAACTTGGGTCATGTATGTATCTTGCAGAGCTAATGAACTGATTAGATTTTGAGGTCAAAGGTCACAGGTCACAGGGCTTATTGTGTACGCAAAAATAGCTTGTGATCGCGTCTTCTCAAGAACCAATTTATGGATATATGGATGTTTGTATCTTGCAGAGCTGATGAACTGAGTGAATTTTGGGTCATGAGGTCAAAGGTCACAGGTTTCAGGTCACAGGGCTCATTAGGTATGCCAAAACAGCTCGTGATCATACTATCATTAGAACCGGTGCCCTAATTACCATCAAACTCAAGACATGTTTATGTATCTTGCAGAGCCAATGAAATTATTAGATTTTAGGGTCATGATGCTCATTATATGTATGAAAACATAGCTTGTGATCGCATTCTTATTAGAACCGACAGATGGATTACTATCAAACTCGGGACATAGTTATCTTGCAGAGCCATGAATATGAAAAAATAGCTTGTATTCACAATATTCTGAGAACCTGTTAATGGATTACAATCAAATTTATAATATTAAAAATTGCTTCCGTTTAAGATTTTAATCTATGTTCAATCCCCAATACGGAAGCAATTTTTTCTTTGATCACCTGTTCACGAGTGAATACCAATGTATTCTAGAGTTTTATCTTTTAAAAACAAAAATTGATTTGTCAGACTGTTCTCTTTCTATTTTCTCGTCAGTGATCACTCATTATAGAGAGAGCATATTTTTGTCGCTATCACTTATGATTGTGATGAACGCTTGGTTCAATAACCTTAATTCTTAGAATGATATTTCACTATTGTCAAAGGGCATACTCCATCTTGTGGGTGATGGAAGACTCGTGATTAAAAAGATTGTTTGTGTTTATCACTGAGATCAGTCCATTCTGTCTTTTCTGCTTGTTCTGCCTCATCTGATCGTCGTCAAGGTTATGTATTTTGTATTCAAAAACTTTAAAACTGTTGAAGTTTTTATCATTTCCCCTAGGCAACCCTCAGCTGCCTGACAAGAAATTGCACAAACCATATAGGAGGGAGAAGTCACATCTCCTTGCATATACGCACATTTCCAGCTATTATTCCTGTTAGACGTAACCGACATAGTTTCCACACAACGAGTCAACTTGTATCAAACAAGGTTTTACATATAGTAATACGAATAAGATAATGAATAGGTTCTCCAGGAAGAATGTACAACATTGACGATGATGATGGTGAATATGAGGCCTCCCTTGATAAACAAAATTATTACTATAAATTTTTTAACATTTTCCACAGACAATTTCATCAGCAAAGAACAGAGTGAAGTCATCACATCAACCACGAAGCTGCCAGCATGCCTGACGATTACAAATGAAGAACAGAATCCTGGAGCCATTAGATCAGAAAGTGGTGAGTCATTCTTCACTTACCAAATCCGCCACTGTAGCTCATTGCATTTTTTATTTTTGTTTATATTTATTTGAAAAATCTTCTTCCACATGGTACATTAATAATTTGTTTCAACTAAACATAGACATAATAATTGTTACAAATATGAAAAAAGAAAATAATTTGAAAAAATACATGTAAACAATATAATAAAATGAACAAGTTTGTATTCATGCCTGACCTTAAGTAAGATTAAAAGTTTTAAAAATGTTAGCGGTAATTCATATAAATTATTTTGTGTTGATAATATGCTTGTGTATTACATTGATTAAGGCTAATGATACATAGATGAATCTGATAGCAATAATTATAACGGAAATTACAATGTAACTTATTTTGGGGTACAGTTGGAATTGTCACAGACTTCTCCAATTGTTGCTATAATAAATATTACGTCCTGTAGAAATATCTTGTATCGACCACTTGCTTGGTTCAATAGCAATTTTAGATGTTTTTCATGACAAATTTACTACTTAAATATTTTGTTGATATGGAATAAAAAACTCTTTTTTTTTTAAAGTATGAAAAACTGTGGAACTTAGAAAATCACTACACCATTTGCAAATTTGGTGATCAGTTTGTGATGTCATTGCCTTACTATTTATCAATTGCTTCATATATTTTGATCCCATTAATTTCCCTTTTTATCCCTCAAAACTTGATTTCCCCATGCCTTTGCCTTTGCCTAGGTTACATGTATATGATATGTATCATATTGCATGCATGACATTTCACAAAATCTTTTCTGAACTTTGAAGAATTGATACTATTTTCTGAATATTGTATATTGATAATTATTGAATTTTATATAAATAGTTTATCAAAATTCACGTTTTTCATGATTTAACTGAAAAAATTACTCTTATATAGTGCATCCGCTCAAAAACATTTTACCGTACTATCAATATAACTTGGATGCTGGTGTGAGGAAATAAGATTTTTAGGGGGGAAATTGGAAATTTATATTATCAATATAAAGAAAACAATTAGTGGATAGTGAGGTAATGACGTCACAGACTCATAAGTAAGTTGCCAATTTGTCCGAGTAGTGATTTTAAAAGTTTTTCATGTCATTACTTGCCCTTTAAATATAATTTTCCTTACAGTCTCATCTATATCACGTGATGAACTTGATCGCATTGGTCGTTACGCTGGGTCATCAATTCTCCGTGCGTTCTGTAAAAAATACGGTTTGACAGTAGTCCCGGAACAACTTCTTGAAATAATCAATGTGCTGAAACCAGCGTTAGACTCCGAACTTGAAAGAATCATTAAGAGAGAAAAGAAGCGACCAAATACCCTAAGAAAAACTCTAAGACAGCTTCTGGAGAAAGAACACCCACACTATGGTAAGGCACGCTATTATGTCGGATGGCACCCTGTCTTTTAGACCTCCAAAAGGGTCTTTTTAAGGGCTAATTATGCCAATCTCTTCTAATACTTTAGTTTTAATCTATTTTAGAACAAGATATCATCGTCGTCATCTAGTGCCGTTCCTTCGGAATGGGTTGGCGGCTATGCACCTCCATCGCTTTCTGTCATGTACCCTTGCTCTTTAACCTCTCCGCAGTTAAGACCAGTCCATTTCTTGACATCATCAAACCAAGTGATTCGCTGTCTAGTCTAGGCCTACCCCTTTCTCGTTTACCCTCTACCATTCCAGTGGCGGATCCAGGAATTTCTTTCCGGGGGGGCACAAAATCACATGGGGTGAAATATATGAAAAACGATGGAGTGAGGCGTCAGCGGCGAGGGAACGGAGCGACCAAGCGGGGGTGGGTCTGGGAGGGGGTCAGCACCCCCTCCCCGAGTAGGAAGCATTTGCAATTTTAGAACCACATTAGGTGCATTTTCAGGCACTTCCTGGAGTAATATGACGTAAAATTGCTTTTTCCTACCCCCTCAAAGGGATCCAGGGGCAGATGACGGTATCTGGCTTTTTGCTAAGGGGGGGGGGGGGGGGGTGGGGTTGACCTAATGACGACACGGAGCATCGTCCACGAGCCGCAAAGTGGCGAGGCGATTTTGTTGTTGTTGCTATTTTGAACCCCCGTAAGTGATGTTTTCCTGGCATCTACTGACACAATGGAGACCATTAAAAGCAGTGCATGATAATTACGTCTTTTTAAATCAAGTAACAGTTTAAGGGGCGTCGACCCAAAGACGATGCAGAGCATTGTCCACGAGTCGCATAGCGGCGATGCGATTTTTTGGGGTGCTATTTTGAACCCTCGTAAGTGATGATTTCCTGGCATCTATACTAACACAATGGAGACCATAAAAAGCAGTGCATGATAACGTCTTTTTAAATCAAGTAACAGTTTAAGGGGGGTTCGACCCAATGACGATGCGGAGCATCGTCCACGAGCCGCAAGGTCTGAGCCGCGTAGCGGCAAGGCAATTATTATTATTGGGGGGGGGGGGGGCTATTTTGAACCCCGTAAGTGATGTTTTCCTGGCATCTACTTACACAATGGAGACCATAAACAGCATTTCATGATAACGTCTTTTTAAATCAAGTAACAGTTTGAGGGAGTTCGACCCAATGACGATACGGATACTGTGTGGGTCTGGACACATGATGGCGTTTTTCTATTCACATCACATTTTCACTTGGCAGCGCAAGGGGGGGGGGGGGGGTTAAACCCCCTAACCCCTTCTCCATCCCCCACAGATCCGCCACTGGGATCTTTTCGCCTTTCTTCTTTTTTCACCTTTTCTCTCCTCCCTCTTTCCCTTTCCCCTCCTTTTTCTCCTCTCCCCTTTTCTTTCCTCCCTCTTTTCTTCTTCTTTCTCTCTTCCCTTTTTTTCTTTTTCCTCTCCTTTTTCTTTCCCCCTCCTTTTTCTCCTTTTCTTTTTTTTTGGCCGGGGGGGGGGGGGGGGCACGTGCCCCCTGTGCGCTCTGGATCCGCCACTGCATTCCTTCCAGCAAGATCTTCTGCAATCCTCCTCTCATCACATGACCAACAGTTTTCTCTTCTGCACTGCGTTAATCAGTTTGTTTGCGCTGTTTGCACCAAGCTGATTTTTAGCATTCTGTGGAAACACCACATTTCAAAAGCTTCTAACTTTCGTTCTGCTTCTTTGCATAGAGTCCATGTTTCGACTCCGTACAATATAGAGTACTCGAGATGTAGCATTTACAGAATCTGCATCTCAGCTCAAAGTTTATTTTCCTACAAGATATGCTGGTATTCAATTAAAAGTCATCTGCTAGAATATAATTATTGGGCTTTTGATGTTGAGTATTGTAATATGTTGGTTCCCCCCGTCTGGAAATGGTATTTTTAGAAGTTCATGGAAATTTACGCTAATATTATCGTTTACCCTTATAGTAATACATTTTAGAACAAGAAATGGTGTAATAGAAAGAAGAAAAAAAAAGTGAGCACAATGTAGACAATCAGAAAGGACAATTATGTACAGTTACACTTGTCTCTACCATAGTCTTGGTCACGTACCTCTGTATGAAATAAAGTTTTTAATTGGAAGGGGTTGGGAAGTATAGGCAAGCAGATCATATTTCAAGTGATTACAACTTACTTGTTTTATATTATCTTTTCTAGCCTGCCTTCTTGCCAAGAAAAAACCATTCAAAATCTTCAATGTAGAGCTGATCGATTTAGCCTTTCGCCTCATCATGGCCGACGTGTACCCATTTGCCAAAGCTCTCAACATAAGCGATCAAGTCCTTAACCTTTTCAGAGGCGACCTCGGACCTCACAATCTGACACAGGGTACTGCTTATATCTTGAAGCAGGTGTCCATTGATAATCGAGTAAAAATGGTCATGCCCTTGAGACAGGCAGGGTATTCTGAAGAGGCAAGGTCACTATATTTTGGTAAGTGCTGAATCTTCTTTACCATGTTTACATCTTTACAAAGACACAGATGAAAACGAAATTTATTGTGAAGGGTGTTATATATATGTACATTATTTTGTATTTTATGGAGGTATTGTAGTCGAATGACTTAATCACAGGAAATGCTTTGCTTTTCTGGTTTAAACAAGAATCATGTTCCTGGGTAAATGTGCCGTCACGGCACGTGAGTCCATTTAGCAAGGCATTTTTATCTATATTGCTCCTCTTCACCCATGTGTTAAATGGGTACGGGGTAGGATGTAAGGCGTCAGTGTGGATGGATTAGCATGTGTGCAGGGATTTCTTATTTTATGGACTCATAAAATATCAAAATGGATGGTAACTATGAAATTTGAGAAATTTCGTATGAAATAAGCACATATTCATTAACTTGCAGGCATTTTAATGCTTTCTTCCTTCTGACCCCACGATCCCATTCAGTAGAATGAATTATATCCATAACAATGACGAAGTGGGTTAGGTCTGGGAGATCCTGTACAAAATGTTGCCTTTAAATGTGTTAAGTGTGTACAAAAGAATAGAGATACAATTGATAGCTCTATAGCTTCCATGCCTGTATGTGTGGTCCTTGTATTGATGCTTCATAACATAATCCAGGCAATTCTTTAGCCGACAAGAAAATGTGGGGTGAATTAAAATCATAGTCATTTTTCTTTACAAACTGGTATTCGTATATGTTACAGGATTTGAAATCAGCATTGGAGACGTGATAGAAGTTGAGAACAGAGTTGACACGGCACAACTGGCGAAACAACTGGGTATTTCTGATGACCTCCAATCGACTGAGCCAGACAACCAAGTGAAGGATGACACACTTCATCAGTCTGGACTTCTTAGATGGAGAGACACTGTACGCTCTTCAACCTTCAACCATCGCTTGGTATTGGCCGATGCGTTGTTCAGCATGGGAAAGGAGCAACTCGCACTAGACATGATTTCAGGTATCTTTACACCTTCATGAAGAACTTTCAAAAAAATGAAATTCTTAGTCTTTCTGTATTTTTCTTTTTCTTCCATTTTTTCCAGAGGACCAGTATAAATGACCCTGAAACTGGTGTGAAGACACATAGCAAAGTGGAAAAAATAAAAGATGTTTCTTTGAGATTTGTGATGGCAAAAGCAAAATTCCACTATTGCCCCCTTTTCCCAGGTAATAAATCAGAATTTCCCAAGAGTCTTTACAATTAATTCAAATACTTATGAAACAAATATATATTAAGTGGGATAGAATTATGAAAACTTACGGTAAGGCCTAAAAAAAAAGATGTTGTATTGCCCTTTGCGACCGACCCCAAAATCTGAAAATCTACGGTTAGCTTTAAAATAAAATAAAAAATGTCACTGTTTTTTTGTTTTGTTTGTTGTTATGAATACAAAAAAGTATGTATTTTGTTTGTTTAAATGGGATATAAATGCATAAAATCATCAAATTATTCCCAAATTCTCACCCATCTTCTGCCCTAATTTCTAGATCCTGCTAGCGTAAACATGCAAGTAGACCCCAGCCTCGTGTATGTGTGTATATACCATTCACTGCACCAGCTAGAAACCAGGGAGATTTGGGCGACGTTCCCAGTTTTGAATTTTGTGGGCAACTGTCGCTGTTTAGAGTTTTCTACGGAAAGGCTCACAAAACTTTATTCATGACACATTTTAAAGGCACTTAAAAAAAAACAGATTTCTGACCGACCAACCCATGTTTTGGCACCTAAAGGGCAATACAACATTTCTTTTTTTAGGCCTAATGAAGGCACATTTAAATATGGAAGAACAATTAAGCCACCCTGTATTCTCAAGATAGAAACATTTGTATCTGAATTGTTTTCATTGGTTGTCAGGAGTGTATAGAAATGGGGAGATGAACAAGCAATTAGTGGCAAAGGTACTTGGGGCTACCATTTCCGACAGACAGGTCCTTACGTATCATAAATTACTGCACCAAAAGGGATCAAAATGGAAGAGTCCTACAGAATGGAGCAACGGACATCTTGATGCTGGATTCTATGACCATGCGCATGAGTTTATGGCAGGTATAGTTAAATTTAAAGATTGTTTATCAGTTATAAAATCAGTACATTTGTAACATGAATCATATTTTACCTATCTTCTACAATCAGCTGTCTTCATCATTTCAGGGTCTCCTATTCTTATTGGCAGTATTAATGAGATGTAGAGAAACAATGTTAATTTGAAGGAAATTCAAAGTTTCTGTGATTCTTGATACATATGTATGCTATCCATATGAGCGAATGCCATATCTAACAAATGCTAGCTATCACCGTGCAATTTGCCAGCACCCACTTGGTAAAAAACTTATGTATTAACCCTTACTGTACTGTGGGGGGGGGGGGGGGGCCTGGGAGGCCCCCCCCCCCCCTCTTGACATTTTCGGAGATCGCGCCGCAACCGCTTGGAATTTTGAATTGTCGTTTCATGACTTTTTTCCCTCAAGTCTTGCGCACATTTTGATACCATTTTTTGCAAAATCGGATATACCTGTAAGGTGTTACATAACAATTAGTATGCGCATGTCATCAAAAAAGTGCTATAATTGCATATATTCATGTACAAGCAGAAATGTGAAGATATGAATTGATATCAAATTGCTTTTATATGTTTCTCAGAGTAACTTAATGTATTCCAGAACAAAAGAATACATTACAAATAAAACAATAAATAGTTGAAAATCGCATCCAATTTGCATAAATTATCATTATTAATTACATCAAATAACTATTTTGTGTTAGAAAAGAAGTTTCATATGAATAATGAGTTTCAACATTCAAAAAGTGGAGTCTGACAATTTTTGTAATGATTCTAGTTCCCTAAATATAATTCCAGATTTGATATTCATGAATGCGTAATTTGCGTATTCATAATTTATGCAAATTAACCTATGCATTTTCAAATATCATAAAAATAATGAAACCTCATGTATTTGAGATGAAGGAAACATTTATTCAATGCATTTTCAAGATTCTTCACAAGTCTACGGACAAATATGTAGAGTTTTCTGTAAAATGCATAAAATTAGCATTTTGCATAATTAATTAGGCTATAACGACAAAAATTTACATATTAGGAAAAAACTAATTATACCATCTTGTTCCTTTCGTAAATATCTACAAATATGCAAATTTTCGTGTTCATCGGACATTCGACGGCCGAGATCATAGGAGGGGGGGCCTCCCAGGCCCCCCCCCCCCCCCCCCCAGTCAGAGGGTGCTCAAAATAGCCCAGTACAGTAAGGGTTAAAGCATATAACTAAATCATTAAAATATTAGAGGATATGTTAAACCAGTCATATAGTTGCAATAGTAAAATATATTATTTTTTGCTTAGGTTAATTAATGCATGAATGTTTAAACACAAATCAATATTTACTGCACACTATGTTCTCTTGTTGGTGCGTAAGGTATATGAGGTGAATCATAATGCGGCTTAAGTTTTATTGATTAATACACCAGCTTCGCTCAACAATCTACAAATATAAAATAAAGTAATTATCACCAAATCCAGAATCTCATCTGCCAAAAAGAATGCTTTGAATGCGTAAAAAAAAATCCTATACTTGACATCAGAGAAATTAATGTCTGTCACTTTCAAAAAGATCCTTTGCAACAAAGTTCTTCCCCCAGTGATAAAATGTCACATTTATGCATTTTTATGCCTCCGTTACGAATTAGCCGGAGGCATTTTGTTTTCGGGTTGTCCGTCCGTCCGTACGTACGTCCCGTTCTCGTGATCGCGTTATCTTATGGATTCTGCCAAACTTTGGTCATGAATGTATCTTGCAGAGCCAATGAAATGATTAGATTTTGGGGTCACGAGGTCAAAGGTCAAAGGTCACAGGGCTCATTATGTATGCAAAAACAGCTCGTGATCGCATTATCATTAGAACTGTAGTATTTTCCTCATTTCATCCTTCTTTATTTCTCAATTTTATTTGTCATTTTGCAAACCCAATTTGGGAGGACATTGCCCTCCGACATTATGCCAGGCACTGCCACCCTATATGTGTCAACAAGTGTCAGCTTAATGGCGTAATGGCCGGACACTGCAGTTATCACCAGTGACTCATTCTCCCTTCCCAGAAATTGGTACAGAACTCTCTTTGTTTTATCCTGCCTTCCAAGAAGGATGAAAACAACTTCTTCTCTCTTACTTTCTTCACTACTAAACTTCTCAAAGTTCTTCATCGAAGTAACACGTCGATTTGAGAATGTCGCCTCTATCACAATTTGCTTCATGCATACACAAGGAGGAAATCCTTCTACAATTCTAACTCTCCTTCATTTCATTTGGAGAATTCTCTTCCGTGCCTATCACCTCTTGTATGGCACATCAACTCTTTATCCTGCCGTCTTCAAAGGACTGGCAGTCTTGCAGTGGAATGCTTAAATCAGGACCCGACATGGCTCCTGATTCTCCGCTGGGAGCTGCTAGCTTCTTCTTCACACACGAGCTCGATTCACTGTAGCTCGCCTGAACTTTCATCAATGAGTCCATCTCACTGCAACTATGATGATTTCACTTCAAAGTCCGGCTCATCGATCCAGCATTGAGCGACTCACGCTCTTCACGATCACCACTATACCGGCTTTGATGTCTACATTTCAACCTGTGCCTCCGACATCGAGCGACTCACGTACTGCCTCGTCGTCGAGCGCCACATTTCTTTCCTTCTCTTCTCACCCGAGCGCTACATTCATCATCATCACGAGCGTCGGCATCGACATCGCGTTCTTCTCGGCTCTTCAGCCACGTCAACGAAGTCGCGTTTCCATCATCAAGCCTCCGCACAATCATCGCGTGAGCCCCTTTCTTCGTTTCATCCGTCATCATCTTCATGGACTTTCGACGTCATTTCTACCATTGTCGTAAGCTCTATTTATTCATCGCATTTGATTTATTCATGTCCATCTCATACATGACCATTTAAACTCCGTGCAATATCCACGATACTTATTCATGTGATTCCCATTCTGAATCATTTATTTGCTTGCATGACTACACTTTGCAAGTGTTGTGTCTGCAAATCAGTACCCAATGAAATAACGAAAAGGGAATACTTTTTATCATGTATTTTATTGCCAGAGCAACCTTGTTTCCTCGTAGTTAAATTAAAAAGAGAGTTATGTTGTGTGATCAGTGAACACGCCTTTACAATTTCCATTCACAATTCATCTACACACTAATAATTCCACAGAACAGATTGATGGATTCCTGCCAAACTTTGATCATTTATGTAAGTCTTGCAGAGCCAATGAACTGAGTAGATTCTTGGATCATAAGGTCAAAGGTCAAAGGTCATGGGCTCATTATGTATGCAAAAATAGCTCGGGAATGCATTCTCATTAGAACTGACAGATGGATTACTATTTAACTCAGGACATCTTGCAGAGCCAATGAACTGACTAGATTTTAGGGTCATGAGGTCAAAGATCAAAGGGTCATTATGTATATGAGAAATTGCTTGTAATCACGATATTCTGAGAACCTGTTAATGGATTACAATTGAACTTGAATTTGAAAACTTCTTGTTTTGGTTTGTAAAATTGCTCTATGACGGAGGCATCATTTTCAACTGCGCGCAGTCGAAGTTCCATCTAGTTATTCTATGTATTTTATGTTTTGTCTTTATATTTTAGGGTTTTGCACATGTTATAGTACTCTTTGTTGTTAGCGCTGTTAAAAAGGTGTTTTGTTCTTTATTCTGGTTTTGTCTGTAACATCTGGTAGTGTCCGGTCATGAAACGGAAACAAGGAATGTGGCATCTGAGGAGCTGTGTCAAGAAGGCATCGCCATCAATGAGCCAGGTAAAGAACTCCACGCATTTTTTAATAGGGAAATACCTGAGATGAATCTGCGCATTTGAATGATTTTAAAAGAAATATGGTGTCTTATAAATGCAGTGAACCATCATCACCATCATCGTCATTATTCTCATCATTATCATCATCATCATCGTCTTCATTACAGCCACATAACATGGCAATAAACTCATGTGAACCCTCAGACGGACTTATACTGTTTGGATTAAATGTTCCAATGACCTTGAGCAGCAGGTGTATTGAATTAATGTTACTAATTGACCAACATGATTCTATTACCTATCAGGCTGATAAGGCGTATCAGTCTCCTCAAGACGTAATTTCTTGTATTCAACCGATATTGGAAATTTCCCTTCTATACTGCCACATAATTATTATGTAATATACTCTCTTGTTAAATCTTTGTTAGTACTACTATCTACACAGTGCAACAAACTTTTCTTCTCCCATCAATGATGGACGAACTATTTGTCATCACATGATTTACTTTTGACCAATCGTAGCTCAAGATTCTTTATATGTGTAATATAATAGCTTATAACATTTATTGAAAATTGTTATTGATATCATGTTTTATGCAACAACAGGGCCCTGAGCGTCTATGGATATGATTTAATACGGGAATGTTTGGCTAAAAAACTTGCTGATGAAACACTCTAACAGGAAATATATATGATATATATTATAAATGTTATAAAAGAGAATACGACAGGAGATATGCTGGTGCAGCGTTCCTCCTTTTAGTTAGCGAAGCCTCTGCATTGTAAACTCTGTCCTAACCTTCTTATTTTCATTATTATATTTGATCTAACTTCAGCAGTGATGCAAGAGAAGAGCAGAGATGGAGCTGCAGAATCAAAAGAGAAAACCACTGAAAACGTTGACACGAAGGAGCAAGGTAACTTTCTTTACGACATATATCCAATACATCATCAGTTATGATATAGGCCTACTAACCGCATGTCTACGGTTCATGCAATATGTTGCTATGAACCATGCAAATACACTTTTATTTGAATGTTCATGTTTTGGAAGAACATCATGGAGTGAATGAAATTATGTTGTTAAATTGTTGCTCTAATATTGCACTGCAGGGCCATATTCCATACAACTCGTTATCATATGTTACAATTACTGTAATTATAGCTACTGAAATTGTGACATTTGATTGACCAAGAGCAAAATTGTCATATAATAAGTTTTATGAAACAGGACCTTGTTCTGCAATGTATTAACTCTTGCACACTCCTGTAGAGAGAGAGAGAGGGAAAGAAAAAAAAGGGGGGGGGGATGGTAGGGAGCTATACTATCACTTATATGTTAAATATATTATTGACTCACCATTATTATACATGGTAGCGTAAATGCATATCTACATGTGGGTTTCAACCTGACTTCATAATCGCTGTGTTGATGTAACACATTCTTATTTTTTTCCGCAGGTAACGCACCCGACGGGTCGGACGAGTGTAAGCAAGATGAAAGTTCCAAACTCCTCATCCAGGCCCAAACATAGACCATTGGGGAGGCATTAGTCAGGACATGGAAGCAAAAGCGATGTCAAGATCCATGGCTTTATCTCTTTGTTGGTTTTCATTCGTTTCCAGGATATTTTCATCATTCTTCTGTAAAACCAGACCATACAAACAGTTTACTAGTCTAAACCGAAGCAAATTTCAACTTTTTATCTGTGAATAAGTCTTTCATTGCCAGAAATGTATTCCAAGCAATTTCTATTCTTTTTATTTCTGCTTCGCATCTGGCATCATCTGTGATATTTTGTCCCAAGTAGATGTAATTATAATGACCTGCTCAATGATATGTCCATCAAGTCCATGCAATTTCTTAGTTTACTGTAATATACCTATCATATTAGATTTATATTGTCATATTGACATTTTCACACATTAATTTAAATTGCCTAAGGTTGATATTTTGAAAGTTGTTGTGATCGTGTTGTACAGATTCTTAAAATTAAGAAATAAAAAATATATAATGAGAAATGCCATGGTATATTGCTTAACCCATTCTAGCCTGGGCTATTTTGAAACTGCATAGCCCGGCCGACCGCCGCAAAAACTTGCATGCATGTCAAGTGTATAGATTACTATGGTAACTTTTTTTATTTTTTAAATTCACTCATTTGCATATTTATGGTACTTTATGCAAATAAGGTAATAAAATTCACATTTTTACCCATAAATCATTTATTCTTAATATTTAAACATTAGTTTTCATTACATATATTCTTTAGACCATTTGGGATAATAATACAACAAGGGATATTGGAATAGCAAGGTTATTCCTTATGTTTTCTATTGATTTGATAATGTATTTTTCATTTTTTTTAATTGATTTATTTTATTGTTTTTGTTGTTTTATTTTAATTCTAACTATAATTCAACTATTTTGAACCCAAAAATAAACACCTTAACTAAAAAAAAAGACCAAATAACCAATGTTTTATCTCTTTTTTGGAAAAATGAGATTTCCATAACTTTTGTACACAAATCACTAAAATTAACGATTTTAGGGCTGACATGCAAAGACAAAAGGTCATGTGATTCTGCCGCAAAGGTAGGTCCAATTATTCAAAAAAAAAAAATTCAAAAGATGCACAAGACTTGAAAGAAAAAAGTCATAAAATTTCAGCTTAAGATTCTGTGGCGTTGAAAAATTAATTCGAAAAATGTAGAATGGGGGGCTTCAACCCCCCCCCCCCCCCCCCCCCCCCCAGGGCTAGATAGGGGGAAGATCTAAACTCCCTCAACTCATCTAAAATAAAGCAGCATTCTTTATAAACCAAATTTGTGTATGTCTGCCTGCGCATCACTGATCTCTGATGGCTTCGCTTTAATAATCGTTCCATAAACAAGACATTCACTCTCACAAGTTATAATCAGGCCCGAGCATGCCTAAGTGTTCTACTCCATTCGCACACATCCATACACAGTTACACGATCAGCTAGTAGTAAAACACTTAAGGGAACCAAAACCTTCATACTAAGTTACTTTTATTGTAAAGTTTAAAGGATTTGAATAAAATCAGTGAAAATTAGAACAAAATCGGGCAAGGAATAAGGAAGTTAGAGTTTTTTAAAATGACTAGTGACTAGAGGGCGATATTCAATTTGATGACATCATCTGTGGACAACTCTCCATGCCTTTTGTACATAAAATTTCACAATTCTTTCATTTTCTTTGTATTTATTTGTGTTCTTGATCAGACTTCATAACATGTGAAGTAGAATATCATTTTGCATTCTATACCTTGCTGTCAGGGGAGTAGATTATCTCAATCACAAGAAAGAAGGAAAAACATGAAATTTGATGTACAAAAGGCATGAAGAGTTGTCCACAGATGATGTCATCAAATTGAATATCGCCCTCTAGTGACTAGCAATTTCAAAAAGCTTTAACTTCCTTATTCCTTGCCCGATTTTGTTCAAATTTTCACTGATTTTATTCAAATATCTTAAACTTTACAATAAAAGTAACTTAGTATGAAGGTTTTGGTTCCCTTTAATGTCCCTTAAACCAGTAAACAGATAGGGGCTTTTCCCACTATTGCCCCCAAAACCTGGAAATCCTTACCTCCTGTACTTAAGAATTGCCATACTCTCACAGTTTTCAAGAAGTGTTTTAAAACACATCTTTTCTAATTTGTAATTAATGTCAGCTTCGTATGATATTGTTCTCATTTTTTGTATGTTTGTATTTCTTGTTTATGCGACTTGTATCTAATGAAAAGGGGCTTTATTATTGAAATATTAGTATTATTATATTCATTATATTGTACTATGCCCCCAGTCAGGTGGGGTTTAAAGCTGGCCTATGAAAGTTTAATACTTCATTAAAAAAAATTGTATTCTAGCTATGTCACATTCTTATATTTTCAATAGTTTGCTTATATATACTACAATCTGAAATATTGAAACTGATAACGTGTATGCTGGATGTAGACAAGAATTGTGTTGTGAATAAAATTAATTTTTTTTTTTTTATGGAAAATTTAATGGAAAGTTCAATATAATTTCATTATTTTATATGCCAAATACTACTATATATTTTCCAATAAATTCAAAAAAAGTGTGTGTTATCGTTCTCTTGAACAATACATTTATGTTAAAAAAAAAAAAAATTGTATCATTTGATAATATAGGTGGAAAGCATTTTGTCACTTCAAGTTTTTTTTTTTCTTCTCTGTACCACCATGTCCTGTATATATAATCAGTTATATTTTGTTGTTGATTCTATTGTTTATATTATGTATGTGTATATATATATATATTTTTGGCAAAGTCAAGAGCAATATTGAATAAAGATGATTTTATTAAAAGAAAAGAAGGAAAACAAAGATGAAAAAAATGTAAAAAAAAGGTTTGTTTTGATCCTGATACATATTTTTTTAATTGGTTACGTTTGGCAGTTTATTGAAGTTCCAAGTGACTTTTTTGCAAGCGATACTAAACTCTCTGCCCCAGTGGATTGCATAGTGCCATATGGTCAAGTTGCGCAGTTCGGGAAGCAGTGAGTTACGGTACTATGGTATTACAGCTGACCTGAGATAGCTCTAGAGGGAATTTGGCAGTAGTGCTTCTAGTACAATATGGCTTTATAATGTACTGTTATAAATACCCTTCGCTGAAGGGCTTTATTTGCCGGGTGTATTTATATCTTTTCAGGAAAATGGATAATTGAAGTATGCTTGAAAAAAAATGGAATTTTCTGACCATGCTCTCAAGTGATGAACGTTGTTGATTCTTATATAGACCTATTCTTAATAAAAAGGAGATTGAATTTTCATTGATATCAAGAAGCGATGTAGGTCTCTACTGGCCTAAGTGACATAAAACCTGTCAACTCTTTAAGCCTACCGGTACATGATTAATGTTTTGACGTGCCAAAGTAATAGAAATAAATTACATGTACATTTATTTATTATATTCATAGAGACATTGCCAAACATCAATTATTTTGCCTGTATTAATTAAGTCCATATTTTGGGTCTACATCTACATTCAATGGCGAGTATAGGAATTAACACCTGGGGCAAGCCGCCCCCCCCCCAAAAAAAAAGTGCCTCTTACATCCCCCCCCCCCCCATATTCACCGGCTGGATCCGCCACTGCCCCCCCCCCCCCCCTCTTGCCGCCGACTGGATCCGCCACTGCCCCCCCCCCCTCCCCTCTTGCCGCCGACTGGATCCGCCACTGCCCCCCCCCCCCTCTTGCCGCCGACTGGATCCGCCACTGCCCCCCCCCCCTCTTGCCCCCGACTGGATCCGCCACTGCCCCCCCCCCCCCCCTCTTGCCGCCGACTGGATCCGCCACTGCCCACCCCACCCCCCCCCCCCATCCCCGACCAAAAGAGTGGGGGAAAAGGAGGTAGAATAGTACTAGAACTGCTGATAAGTTCACTTGCCAAATGTACAACTTCATACAAGCGTACAGTAATGTAGTGGACCTTGCTAATGGAGTACTATAGCTCGCGAAATACGTGAATTGAATTTTGTTAGCACTTTTAAAAGTAAATACAAAAAGTATTTGATGGACTTATATTGATGTTTTCTAAAGACTTCAATGGTTGTTAAATTCATTATGATATTATTGTACATGCCATTATTTGTTTTACTTTTAATTACAGCTTATACGGCTGTTTATATTTGGTCAGCCGCATATAAGGACCACCTACATTCTGACTGCTACCAGCCTAGCTAAGCGATATGTTTTTAACGATTTGTATTCATGTTTTCAAAATTGATTCTGTGTTTTCCTGTAGTTATCTATAATTGTAATTGTGTGATACTTTTATATTGCTGCTTTTTTTTTTACCCTGCACGTTTTTTATTGCTTGGCAAAATAAATTGAATTGAATTGCAAAAATGAAAAATTTCCCCCTCTTTTTGGTTGTCATATAGTAATGTACCTTAGATTACCTTCAATTTACTTACAACCCTGTATCAAATTAGTACTGTATGTATCTTGTCCTAATGTATTAATTGTATTTTGTTCGTGTCTGGTGACAATCCGACCTTGAATAAACTTGAAACTTAGAATGTTGGAATATGTTGTAAGCGGACTGTTTTCCGAAATAGACTTGTGGGCCGATATATGGTGCACACCCCTCCCCTTTTCCCGGCGACGCTACTGAATCTTACTAAAAAACATCACATCAGACTCGGATTATATGTATATGCAGTTATATATTTCAAGGAATGACAGGCTTTAATATCATCCAAATGAATGCAAGCATGAAGTACTAAGTTGGATATGACGCCTTCAAAGTAACTTATAGGTTATAACAGAACACATCTAAGCCTTTAATTATCCCTTATATTATCCCCGTCAAATAGTATAAGTGAAACTGACGGTATTTTCAAACGTTTTTAGGACATTTTGGAATGTTTTCCATCAGCTTCAAGTTAGTCAAAACATTGGATACACAATGACATTAAAGTAGGAAACCATTACAAAAAAACACCTTCAAAAATGGAAATGCCTTTCAATCTCTATCCCGATTATCATGTCATGATGACCTGTGCTATATTTAAGTGAGTACTTCTATGAAACTTATCAATATCCTTATCTTAAAAGAGATATTTAAAGATAGAAATAAGTTGACCATCAGAACTAAAGTCTCTCATAAGTAGGACACTTAAGAGAGACGTTTGGGTTTTATGTCTAGACATAATTTTTTTATGAAATACCCCCTGCATGGAGGCATTGTTTGCGAGAGTGAGAGAATGAAAATAATGTATCAAAATAATATCATAGATGCATTGCATAAACTATGTTTTTTGCAGAAGCAAAGTCACACACACGCGCGCGCACACAAATGTTCGTTGATGTTTGGTATTTGTTAGCCTATGTGTGGCATGATTAATTTTGTTAGGGATGTTATTTGGATCTGCAAAAACTGATTTAATACCCAAATCCCAATTGTTTTATTTAAACATCACATAATAAGCAACTTTGGCGCAAGTCGAATTTTGCACTCTCGAAAACAATGCCTCCTGTTCATCCAAGCGTGAACACATACCACACAAAAATGATACTGAAATATTTCGGATAAAACACTCTTTCATAAGATGAATAATAATTTACTGTTCATAGACGATTTTAAAAATAATGAGCAATTGTCTAGGTGTAAACTTTCTTTTGACTCGCACTGTATAGTACTGCACTAAATTGGCATGATTCAGATTTGTTAGTTGTCACAGAAAAAAGTTGGGCCGGGCTCATAGAGATAATAATACTATTAAGTATACATCGATTATGGCCGGGCTTGACTTTTGGCGGGTTAGAGGTTACAATATTATTAGTTCACTGATCTGATTCGCTTATTTTTTTTTAACTTTCATAGTCAAACGAAACAGATTTTAATTGACAGAGGATATATGCCAAAGAAGGAGAATTAATAGAACAAGATACATGTAAATATCAGAAAAAATGAAAGTGAGAGATGATATGATTCTCAGAAGAGAGAAGATCGAAGAAGAAGAAAATGAGAGGAAGGGAGCGCAATTAGAAGAGGAGTAATATTAAGATATTATATTTTTGTTCAGCTTTGTATTTGCTGATCGAGTATGCATATATATTCTTTTTAAAAACTTTCTTTTGTGATTGAATAATTAGATCAAGGAAAGCGGTACTTTGCGTAAATATTTTAACAAATATTGAAAGCGTTAGTAATAACGACAGCATTCTACCTTTCATTCGTTTCATCCCGTTCTGTTTCTCTCTGTCGCTGCAGTGAATTTACTTCTGGCTTTAATTATATTCTTTATTCTTACTTGTCGCAATCTTTTTATCGCTCCCATCGTTGCACTTCAGTTAGTTGCTTTACATATTTGTATTCCTTTGTTTCTTTGCATTTTGCTTTCTTTGTTTCGTAATTCTCTATTTTCATGCACCCATGCAATGAGACTCCACGTCGCAATGTTTACAATGACATCATCCACCCTTCCACGTGTAACGTAAACATTGTGACGTAAATGTTTATTTTGAAAACGCTATAATTTGCATATGCGCGACCCTGGTCGACCTCGAAGATCGCAACTCGACTAGACTGACTCGGCTCAGAATAGGCGATGGTACGGTGCTGAATGGTAAGTTTTGATCAATTTTATTCTGTTTAATCGAATCCATCTACCTTCGCCTACCCATCCTCATGATCCTGTGTTCATATGCTCTAGAATCTGGTTACTCTAAGTCTAATCAGGGTCTATCAAGTCCCTGCTCTAATGATGATTTATGTGCTTGATAATGATAATGATAAAGAGGCTGCTTCGATCAAGCGATAAAGTGCGGTCGTGCTTTAGCGGAGCGCTGGCAGTAGTTGATGCCCAAACCTTTGGGGTGTAGCTTCTTGGATTTACGCTGTGTTCAATATAAAAAGTTGGCGCAGTCTTGCTTTTACATTTCCCGAAAATCTGACGTTTTTGTCGGCTGGCTTTTGAAATGTATGTTTCTAACCAACAGTTTAAACAAAATATATCGTCGGTGGGGTGACAAAACCTCGTATCTCAAAAATGATGAATTTTCAGCAGAGCGAAAAAACTGTCCTGTCTCAACAAATAGTACAGTGCTGAGTGTGACACGTACACCGTCCTTTCTTTTTAAAACTGGAATATTTATACAATGTGTAATGTCATTGTTGAAATACAGTAAAATAATTGTTTTTATATTTGAAAGTGAGTTACAAGGTTTTTGCTTTTATCTACGTTGAGATACGAGTTCTTAGTCTTACTTTCAACTCTGATTGAGTTACGAGGATTTGGTTGAATAAGTTACGAGGATTTGAATTGAATACACTAATTTCGGTACTGTTAGGATGTGTGTGAGTTTCAAGGAAAATGAATTACATACCTTAAAGGGATCGTGTAACAATGTTAAATCTGAGATACACGGCCCTACTTGTTATCAGTGTCTGTGATATGGTGTAATATTGAAGCCCTAAAAAAACTACGCTTCAAAATGATCAAGAAGTGCCTCAAAAAAGTAAAAATCTTTGAGTGACCGGTTTTACCATACTCGTTTTCCCCAATAGACTGTAGTGTTATGAAAACCGTCAGGCGAACGGTTTTCAAAATGTGTAATTCCAATCATAAATATCTTGATAATCAGATAGGCGATCGGCTTGTAAAAGTCATGGGGTTCCTGACTGACCTAAAGGTTTATAATTATCATTGCATCATGAGCTAAATCCAGAATTTTGTTTCAGAATCTGAGACAAAGTTACCGGATCCCTTTAAGTTACGAGGTTTTGTTAGTGCAGCTTCAAAGGGGGTTATAAAGTTACGAGGTTTAGTTTAAGGGTGTTTGTGTGGAATTTGTGAAAAACCGAGAAGGAGGCGTTCCATGGATTTATCAGGTGGTGTCGTAGGCCATTAGGACCAGATCCAGAACCAAGCTCTCAAAATTGCAGCAGAAGAACTAGCCCCCATCTTGCAGTTCATCTTCCAACAGTCGCTTGATTCTGGTGATCTCCCACTGGACTGTGGAGAAAGGCCATATCACTCCACTTTTTAAGAAGGGCTCTACCACCGACCCAGCAAATTACCGCACTATTTCACTAAGGCCATGTAAAATTGATTACATGTTGATCGTCCAGATTTTTTGAAAAAGAGGAGGAGGGTGTACCATGTTATCTGATATTTGATATTTTTCCCAAGATGGCTGCCGCGTGTACAAATAGTATATAATTGAATATGTACATCAACCAACGTTGCTGTAGTGAGTTTGATTTGCCCTAAAATATCAATTTTGGCTTTCTTCAACAGGTTTCTTTTTGTCTATTTTTAAATATTAATGTTGCCTTTATTATAAATATGTAATTTGTAAATATATTGTCATTTTTGTTTTGATTTTGTAATTGTTGTTTTAACAAGAATGACATGATATTTAACATTTTCATTGGAAGCCTTGAAGGCGTACCTACAGGCTAGCTTTGGTCTATCCAAGTCTGCACTACAGGAAGCTGCCTCAAGCAGAGGACGCCAACTAAGTGACATGCATACTACCATCACGCCATGATATTGAATGCCAAGTATTAAATCCTCACTCCAACATTGAAAGTACCAAGGGTGATGACCCATGCATGTATAAATCGAAATCCAGCTATGCTGCATATACCCTACCAAAGGAGTGCCAGAATGGGAGTATATGCCAGAAACCACTACCAAGATTTGTTGACTGTATCAAAATGTTAAGGGCAAAATCCAATGCTCTCTCTTTCCTGAAAAGAAAAACACTGAGAACACATATATATAGATCAAATTTCAACTCTATATTTATTTTTGACAAGGAATTAAAACAAGTTGTACTCGATTATTATTATTATTTTTTATTATTTAAAAAAAAAAAAAAAATCAAATATCAAATATAAGGAGGCGAGCGGAAAAAAGGAAGTGGGCGGGGACGATCACATGAAATCAATTTTACATGGCCTAACGAGTACCTGTTGTAAACTTTTGGAACATATTATTGATAGTAACCTCATGGGCCACCTTAGCGAACTAAATATTCTTGCAGAAAATCAGCATGCCTTTAGGAGACGCAGATCATGTGAATCTCAACTTATTTTGGCAATTAACGACCTGGCAAAGAACCTGGATAAAAAAACCACCACAGATTTGATAACACTTGACTTCTCTAAAGCCTCTGATGTCATCCCTCACCAGAAGTTACTTCACAAGCTAGATTATTATGGAATCCGTTCAGATAACTTAAGATGGGTGACAAATTTCCTTACAAAACGACTACAACGCGTATGTGTTAACGGAAAACATTCAGACTGGAAGCCAGTTCTAAGTGGAACCCCGCAAGGAACTGTGCTCGGTCCTCACTTGTTCTTGCTCTTCATAAATGACATTCACGACAAAGTCAAAAGTACCACTAAGCTTTTTGCAGACGATTGCATGCTGTACCGTCCAATTAAATCAGTAAACGACGTGGACATCCTGCAACAAGACCTAGATGCAATGGTGGAGTGGTCTCAGAAATGGGGCATGAAATTCAACCCAAAAAAGTGTGAATCAATGCGTGTCACCAGGAAGAAGAAACCGGGTAAATCTTCATACAACCTCCTTGGTGTCACCCTGGAAGAATGTAAGCAGACAAAGTACCTTGGTGTTGTGATCCAGAACGACCTCCGATGGAATGGCCAAACTCACCTCGCAACAACAAAAGCTATAGGAGTATTGAGTTTTCTGAGATGCAACTTTCATCACTGCTCAACTTCCATAAAGGAGAAACTCTACCTCACCCTCGTTAGGCAACACTTAGATTTCGCAGTTGCTGCTTGGGACCCATACACAGCTAAGAACATTTCTTCTATCGAACGAGTCCAGAGGCAGGCAGCCCGTTTTGTCACAAGCACATATCAGAGAGAAGCAAGCGTCACCCACCTTCTAAATTCTCTTCAATGGAACTCTCTCCAAGACAGACGCGAAGCTCACCGTCTAAGCTGTTTCCACAAAATGTTACATGGCCAGCTGGACATAGATGCCCAAACCCACATTAAACCTAAACCAGATCGTAGCAGACGCGGGCACTCAAGTCAGTTCGAAATACCATTACCCAGATTAGATGTATACAAAAACTCTTTTTTTTCCACGCACAACCAGAGCATGGAATAATCTTTATTCGACATTAGTATCCCTGACTGACTCAGCAAAGTTTAAAGTAGCACTCCTTCCGAAATAAGTCCACCCTGTGCCACCACGACCTCCAGTTTAAATTCCACTAGGAATATTTTGAAGGAACAACAACCAAGTACCAAGTACAAAGGTACAAAATTATGTAAAAAAATCAAAATCTCAAAAAATTGAGTTACAAGGTTTTGTCACCCCACCGACGATATAGACCCTTTATCTAGAGGGATCCGGGCTAACTCGGACCAGGGGACAACTCGGCCCAGCTGCAAAAACTGTCATTTTTTGTCATTTTACCCTAACTCTAACCCTAACCCTAACCCTAAAAAAAAAAAAAATAATGCTCACTAGACAAGACCTACCCCCCCCCCACCCCCCTGCTTATTCAGCGACTGGCTGAGACGTTGCGAAATTTTCTCTCAAAATTTTAGGCCCCCCCCCTTCGGCAAATCCTGGATCCGCCACTGATCTAGAGTCTATTCCTGTTTGGGGCAATGTGGTCATGCTCAGGCGTGCCAGAAGCAGTTTTGGATTGTGGGGTTGATGGGGCAAACATTCGTTTCCAGGGGCCGTATTCTGAACCCTGTGTTATCTCTGATATTGTTGTATCTTTGGAGATCAGATAAAGTTGGTATTCTGAACGTTGTAACTTTTGTTGCATCTTTTCTCTCATCTGTTTGGAGGCCCCTGCATTCAAACTTTTGTTTTGTGCACTGGTAACTGCAGAGACGCCAAGTTCAAAGATTAGCAATGCGTGACATTTTCATGACTCGGCGCGGTAGCTCTGTAACTCTGCTTGTAAGTAATAAAATGGCGCTAAATCCTCATTTGCATATGCGCACGAGAGATGATTTGACAAGATAATTGGTATTCTGAAAATTGTTGTATCTTTTATCTTATCTTATCTTGCGTGGTATTTACAACAATATTTACAACAGGTAGGGGGTTGTTGTATCTTTTGTGGTGATATAATGGCGGCAATATTTCTTGCCCGGAACCAACTTCGTGCCAAAAGACGAGTTACAAGAATATTGTGTGATGACCGGAAACATCACAGATGAGAACTTTCTAAGAATTACATGCTAGGATATGACGATTTTAATACTCTCAAATACCAATGTAGTGAAAGCATGACTTGTCTTCATGATCCACATGCCACAGCGCATGATGAGGCGCGTAATAAGCGCTCAAATATCCAATTACGCCCAAGATTAGTATGCGCTAGGCGCATCTTCAGATATGGCATAAAGCATTCCTATTGGTTGACCTACTTATCAAGCATTGCTTATATGAAACAGATTTTGATTGGTAGGGTCCATAGAAATGGGCGTGTCAACAGTGGTCAAATATAAGATAGAGGCGGATAAAATGATTTTCAGAATACCAACTTACAACAATATTAGCATTGTGTTATCTCTGGGTGATACAACAAAATATAACACAAAACTTACAACAATGTTCAGAATAACGCCCCAGGGCTCACCTTACAGGGGCAGTGGCATAATGAGCAAAAACTTTTTTTTTTAAGGGGAGGGGGGGGGGGGCAGAATGTTACATGCAGGCCCGCATAACTTTTTTTTAAAGTGGAGTATTAACAATCAGTTTTATATCTCGGCAATGGGATAACAAGGTGTTCTCGGACCTTCGGATAACTCCAGGTATTTCGGACCATTCTGCAATTTTGTGCAGTATACATGTACATCTGCACAAACCTCCATCAGTTGTACATCCTCGAGTCATGCGTAACATCAAAGCAATTGACAGAACATCATTTGCAACAGATATGATGAACAGCGAGCTTTCCTCGACATCTACAGTGTATACCCACTGACGATGCAACAGCTAGAGTCGACTTGTATAACATGGTTCTCAGTGACTTATTACATTGTAGATTTCCACACACCAGCTACCTCCCGAACTGTCAAGACACGGGCTCATACTCCTTGGTTTCCTCACGAAATTAAAAGTGAGAAACAAGAACGTAGGCACCTGGAAAAGAAGTGGCGATTTTCGAAGTTGGAGATTGATCGTCAACTGTATTGCAAACAGAAACAACATGTGCACTCTCTTCTCCGCAAATCGAAACATGCTTACTACCAGCAATCAATAAGTGACTGTGGTAACAACTCCAAGAAGATGTTCAAATTTGCTAATGCACTCTTGAATCGCACACAGACATCTCCACTTCCAGCGAACGCATGCAGCAAATCCCTAGCGTCGCTCTTCAGCCAGTTCTTTGTTTCCAAGATTGACAGTATTCAAAGGCACCTGTGTACTGATGTTGCTCCACTTCCACCACTGTCTTGTATTGGACTTGCAACACTTGCAGATACTACTTCAGAGGAAATTGAGTCACTTATCCGCAACAACCCTGTGAAATCATGTGAGCTTGATCCGATTCCAACTAATGCCACTATCATACATGTATTTCCTTACATTGCCGATGTGGTCATGCAATCTGAGTCTGCAGAGTGGGAAAGTTCCGAAAGCCTTAAAGATCGCTCATATTCATCCACTACTGAAGAAGCCTTCATTAGATCCAGAATGTCTCCAGAACTATCGTCCAGTCTCGAATCTACCTTAATTGTCGAAACTTTTGGAGCGGGTAGTCTTCTCTAGATTGTATGATTACCTACAGGAGAATGATCTACTCGACAATCACCAGTCAGCTTACCATGCAAATCACAGTGTTGAGACCCTGCTCGTCAACCTGTCCAAAAACATCCTGACAGAAATGGATGTTGGTAGGATCACAGCAGTCGTGTTATTAGACCTGTCGGCAGCATTTGATACTGTGGACCATCGTATCCTTGTCAATGTATTGTCATCCATTGGAATTCATGACCACGCACTTGAATGGTTCATGTCCTATTTGGATGGACGGCAGAAATTGGTATGTATAAATCATGAAAGATCTGATCCTGTCAAGCTCAGTTGTGGCGTCCCGCAGGGGTCAGTCGGGGGGCCGTTGCTGTTTTCCTTGTACATCACTAGGCTCAAGCAAGTTTTACAGCAGCATGATGTCAAGTATCACTGCTATGCAGATGACATCCAGATCTACGCATCGCTCCTTCCCAATCAAAATGACGCAAGTCGGACTGTCAAACTACTCGAAGCTTGCGTCGAAGATGTGCAAACTTGGATGAACTCGAACTCACTCAAACTGAATGATAGTAAAACTAAACTAATTTTATTGGGTTTGAAATCTAATCTTGCTAAGATACAGTCGTTCAATATATCCATATCAGATTCTGTAATTAGTCCTTCCTCGCAATGTCGTAACCTTGGTGTCATGTTAAACTCGTCTATGTCATTGTCAACTCATGTTTCTAGTATTTGTAAGTCAGTCAGATATCAACTGAGAAATCTAGGTTTTATTAGGAAATACTTTATAGTCGTTCAACCACAGAGAAACTTGTTCATGCTCTTATTTCATCACACTTAGATTTCTGTAATTCTATTCTCTATCTACTCCCTAACACAAAACTTTCTCGACTCCAGGAACTGCAAAATACTGCTGCACGTATTGTCACACTTTCTTCTTGTAGAACCCACAACACCCCCATTCTCAAAACTCTTCACTGGCTCCCGGTATGTGACCGAATTATTTTTAAGTTGTTGTTGCTGGTTTTCAATTCCTTGTATGACTCTGCTCCTTCCTACAATATCAAGTTGATTGTTAAGTATAAGCCTACAAGACATCTTCGTTCATCTCAATCCTCCTTATTAGTTGTCCCTGAGATGCGCAGTTCCTGGGGAGATAGAGCATTTTCTCATTCTGGTCCGTCCCTTTGGAATAAGCTGCCTCTTAGTATTCGTAATTTAACTGCCCTTCATGCCCTTCGAAGTTGCTCTAAAAACCCATCTTTTTCTAAACAGTGCTATTTAATCATATCAATGTAGCGTAATAATTTGTGTTGTTTTAGTTTACTTTATTTTAGTTACCGGTAAGAAAGTTATATTTTTGTGATAGTAATACATGTATGTACAGCGCCATGAGCGTCAGAGCCTGGCGGATACCGGCGCTATATAAATATCCATATTATTATTATTAATCAGGTAAAGAGCGTAGCAATCGAGCAAAGCGGTCGAGTGGAGCATAAATTGTCGTGGGGAGCAGGGGGCAGAGCCCCCCGAAGCCCAGGGGTTTCAGGCATTCCATTACAGTCAGATAAGATAATTTTGATACCTTATTTGTGACACTGACAAGTCATATAATTGGCGTTGGGTCCAGGGGGCTGAGCCCTTTTCTTTGAATGGAATAGGCAGTCCACAAGTAGAATTAATAATAATAATAATAATATTGGATTCTTATATAGCGCACGTATCGACCTTGCAAGGTCCTCAAGGCGCTCCAACATTACCCGGCTATGCTAGGCTGCCGATTTCGATGCTCACAGCATTTTAAGGAATTCCTTCTTACCAGTACCCATTTAACACCTGGGTGGAGAGTGCCAAATGTAGATCAATGTCTTGCCAAAAAACAATAGTGCCGCGGCGGGACTCGAACCGCGGACCTAAAATAATTTAACATACACTGTAAACAAAATTATCAGGATCAATTTATACAGATATTTATTATATTTATACAGTATAATGCACCCTTTTAGACATTTCTTTTTAATTCTCAATTTTATACAGGTATTATATTAATGGGTTGTTGAAGCTTGATTTAGAGGGAAATTTGACACATTGCAATCAGGTTGAGATGTGTGTGTTTATTTAGAATATAAAAGTAGGCATTGTGCAGAGCTCTTACCTTACGTTCCACTTGATTCATTGGAAGGATGTTAGAGGGGTTCCCCCCCCCCCAACCCATCCCACCCCAATAATTCGAACACTAATCGTAATGAAAACAGGACTGTTGCAATGTATGGCTTTTACTGAACTTCTAATTGAGGGCTAACACCTTTGTTTTTGGCATATTTGTCTTGTATTAGATCAGTAACAATGGCTGAGAAGAAAGAAGAGGATAACTCATTGACTGATGCCATCTTAACCAAGTATGGAAACATGGAATCAGGTCTTCATGACATGGGAAAAGTTCAAGTCTATTTCAGTGCTCCAGCCAAGAAAATACAATCATCAAAAGGTATGTATCAAATCATTTGTCTCACCAAAGTAAATACAATCATCACAAGGTACATGTATGTATCAAATCATCTGTCTCAGCCAAGAAAATACAATCATCACAAGGATGTATCAAATCATTTGTCTCACCAAAGAAAATACAATCATCACAAGATATGTATCAAATCATCTGTCTCAGCCAAGAAAATACAATCATCACAAGGTATGTATCAAATCATCTGTCTCAGCCAAGAAAATACAATCATCACAAGGTATGTATCAAATCATCTGTCTCAGCCAAGAAAATACAATCATCACAAGGTATGTATCAAATCATCTGTGTCAGCCAAGAAAATACAATCATCACAAGGTATGTATCAAATCATCTGTCTCAGCAAAGAAAATACAATCATCACAAGGTATGTATCAAATCATCTGTCACAGCAAAGAAAATACAATCATCACAAGGTATGTATCAAATCATCTGTCACAGCAATGAAAATACAATCATCACAAGGTATGTATCAAATCATCTGTCACAGCAAAGAAAATACAATCATCACAAGGTATGTATCAAATCATCTGTCTCAGCCAAGAAAATACAATCATCACAAGGTATGTATCAAATCATCTGTCTCAGCCAAGAAAATACAATCATCACAAGGTATGTATCAAATCATCTGTGTCAGCCAAGAAAATACAATCATCACAAGGTATGTATCAAATCATCTGTCTCAGCAAAGAAAATACAATCATCACAAGGTATGTATCAAATCATCTGTCACAGCAAAGAAAATACAATCATCACAAGGTATGTATCAAATCATCTGTCACAGCAAAGAAAATACAATCATCACAAGGTATGTATCAAATCATCTGTCTCAGCCAAGAAAATACAATCATCTCAAGGTATGTATCAAATCATCTGTCTCAGCCAAGAAAATACAATCATCACAAGGTATGTATCAAATCATCTGTCACAGCAAAGAAAATACAATCATCACAAGGTATGTATCAAATCATCTGTCTCAGCCAAGAAAATACAATCATCACAAAGTATGTATCAAATCATCTGTCTCAGCAAAGAAAATACAATCATCACAAGGTATGTATCAAATCATCTGTCTCAGCCAAGAAAATACAATCATCACAAGGTATGTATCAAATCATCTGTCTCAGCCAAGAAAATACAATCATCACAAGGTATGTATCAAATCATCTGTCTCAGCCAAGAAAATACAATCATCACAAGGTATGTATCAAATCATCTGTCTCAGCCAAGAAAATATAATCATCACAAGGTATGTATCAAATCATCTGTCTCAGCCAAGAAAATACAATCATCACAAGGTATGTATCAAATCATCTGTCTCAGCCAAGAAAATACAATCATCACAAGGTATGTATCAAATCATCTGTCACAGCAAAGAAAATACAATTATCACAAGGTATGTATCAAATCATCTGTCTCAGCCAAGAAAATACAATCATCACAAGGTATGTATCAAATCATCTGTCTCAGCCAAGAAAATACAATCATCAAAAGGTATGTATCAAATCATCTGTCTCAGCCAAGGAAAATACAATCATCACAAGGTATGTATCAAATCATCTGTCACAGCTAAGAAATCATGGGGCTAAACAAGTTAAAATAATGATAGTAATGAATTCATTTATACAGCGCATTGATTAATTGATGAAGTCTCTACAGTTTGCACTTTACCTGGTAATTTAGAGTGTATATTAATTGCAAATATGTTTTATAAGGTGTGTATGAAACCATCAATGATATCATCCATTCTTTTGCCCACTTTTGTCTCTAGAAATGTTACACCTTTTGCTACATATTTTTAAAAAACATTTATAACATGGGTAGAAATCATCAAAAATGTCAAACGTTGTGTTTGGGAAGATCGTGAATTTGAATAGTTTGACCATTCGATCTAAGTTGTCTTAATTTGTATGATGACAAAGCATTTGTTTTGCCCTCTTCTCTTCAGATGACACGATGGATCTCAAACTTCCCAGAATCTTGGTCCTGAATCGATACAAGATCAGAAATGCTGGAAATGAAGAAAGATTAGCTGAGCTCTGTAAATCTGTTACAGAGCTGGACTTGGCTGAGAATGCTTTAGATAACTGGAAAGAGGTAGGTGAGATAGATAGACATATGATTGTCATTGCATGAAGAAAGCTGATGTGTTTATTATTCTATGGGACTTGTAGACTTAAGGTTGAATTGATCTTTTTATGAGCATTGTACATCAGAAAAGATAAGTCTCCTAGATTGATATACAGTCAAACCTGCTTTGGTGACCACCTGTCTACAGCACTGTGGGCCTTTGTGTTTCATGCTGGGGTGATAGTAATGATAATATACCACCTGTCTACAGCACTGTGGGCCTTTGTGTTTCATGCTGGGGTGATAGTAATGATAATATACATTTGAAGAACAAAAGTATGGACTTCTGATGGAAAACAAATCAAATGTTTGGATGGTGCTGAAAGGGAGAGAGAAACATGGGGAGAGGTAGACAGGGAAGTGTGTCCACCCTGAAAATGAGTTTGGGTTATTTAAAAGCAAAATGTTTGAGGAAAATCCTGTAAAGACTAAAGAGTGATACTTCATATGAACATTTTAAAAGTCATAATCACGAGAATGTACTTTCTCCTTAAAGGTACTTTGTCCCATTTGCAGCCAACCTCAAATTCTGTGAAACTTTGCAGGAATTATGGTTATGTCATGTATGTCCTATCTGTGAAATTTAAATGTTAGCAGTGTCCTAATATTCAAATTATGCAAGGAAACCCGTTTACTTGCTAGACTCCACTGTCAGACACTATTGAGTGACTGACTGGCTTTTTTCTTCTTTGGTAATAACATATATAAAATGAGCTGTAAAGGGTACATGAGCATTTGTCTACATCAATAACCCACTTCTTGTGATGCCCAAAATTAAACTGAGTGAATCTTTGCGCTGCAAAAACGTATGACCATTCTGTACAATGGTCTGAAAATCAAGACTATTTTTTATTGGCTCTATAGCTCCTAAGTCGATTTGACAACTAATAGTCGTTATTTTCCCACTTGAAGACATTTTCAAGCCCCACCTTTTTTAGGGAAGTTCTAAATTAGTATTATCTTGCAAATGCCGTTGGAATTTAACCTTTTCATTTTGGGGGCCTGCAAATTGGACATAGTACCTTTAAAAGTACAATTTTATTAGTTAACCTTATAAAGTTGAAACATCGTTTTCTATAATTTATGTTATTGCAATAACTTTAGCAGGCTTTGATTGTTTTTGTTTTTCTAATTATCTTCATAGATCCTGAAAATTGCCGGTCAGCTTCCAAGATTAGAATTCTTCAACCTCAGCTCCAATCCATTACACTTAGCCACACCCTTAGCAACACCATTAGCAACCACTAGTAGTCTAGTCAACATGGAGAATATACAGAGACTGGTGTTAAACAATACCAAACTACACTGGGAGTCCATACACAGTCTGCTTACAGTCATGCAAAGGTACGTAGCAGGTTATAGCCCTAACCCTAACCAAGCTACACTGGGAGTCCATACACAGTCTGCTTACAGTCATGCAAAGGTACGTAGCAGGTTATAACCCTAACCCTAACCAAGCTACACTGGGAGTCCATACACAGTCTGCTTACAGTCATGCAAAGGTACGTAGCAGGTTATAACCCTAACCCTAACCAAGCTACACTGGGAGTCCATACACAGTCTGCTTACAGTCATGCAAAGGTACGTAGCAGGTTATAACCCTAACCCTAACCAAGCTACACTGGGAGTCCATACACAGTCTGCTTACAGTCATGCAAAGGTACGTAGCAGGTTATAACCCTAACCCTAGCCAAGCTACACTGGGAGTCCATACACAGTCTGCTTACAGTCATGCAAAGGTACGTAGCAGGTTCTAACTCTAACCCTAACCAAGCTACACTGGGAGTCCATACACAGTCTGCTTACAGTCATGCAAAGGTACGTAGTAGGTTATAACCCTAACCCTAACCAAGCTACACTGGGAGTCCATACACAGTCTGCTTGCAGTCATGCAAAGGTACGTAGCAGGTTATAGCCCTAACCCTAACCCTAAACAATACCAAACTACACTGGGAGTCCATACACAGTCTGCTTACAGTCATGCAAAGGTACGTAGCAGGTTATAACCCTAACCCTAACCCTAAACAATACCAAACTACACTGGGAGTCCATACACAGTCTGCTTGCAGTCATGCAAAGGTACGTAGCAGGTTATAGCCCTAACCCTAACCCTAAACAATTCCAAACTACACTGGGAGTCCATACACAGTCTGCTTACAGTCATGCAAAGGTACGTAGCAGGTTATAACCCTAACCCTAACCCTAAACAATACCAAACTACACTGGGAGTCCATACACAGTCTGCTTGCAGTCATGCAAAGGTACGTAGCAGGTTATAACCCTAACCCTAACCCTAAACAATACCAAACTACACTGGGAGTCCATACACAGTCTGCTTGCAGTCATGCAAAGGTACGTAGTAGGTTATAACCCTAACCCTAACCAAGCTACACTGGTCCATACACAGTCTGCTTACAGTCATGCAAAGGTACGTAGCAGGTTATAACCCTAACCCTAACCAAGCTACACTGGGAGTCCATACACAGTCTGCTTACAGTCATGCAAAGGTACGTAGCAGGTTATAACCCTAACCCTAACCAAGCTACACTGGGAGTCCATACACAGTCTGCTTACAGTCATGCAAAGGTACGTAGCAGGTTATAACTCTAACCCTAACCAAGCTACACTGGGAGTCCATACACAGTCTGCTTACAGTCATGCAAAGGTACGTAGCAGGTTATAACCCTTACCCTAACCAAACTACACTGGGAGTCCATACACAGTCTGCTTGCAGTCATGCAAAGGTACGTAGCAGGTTATAACCCTAACCCTAACCAAGCTACACTGGGAGTCCATACACAGTCTGCTTACAGTCATGCAAAGGTACGTAGCAGGTTATAACCCTAACCCTAACCAAGCTACACTGGGAGTCCATACACAGTCTCCTTACAGTCATGCAAAGGTACGTAGCAGGTTCTAACCCTTACCCTAACCCTAGATTGCTCACTATCACTCCTGAAGAAACTACTGCTTTCAATTATGCAATTTTACCTGTGTGGGAAATATGTCAGCAGATTGAAAATGCTAAAGGAAATATTCCTTAAAATGCAATTTGTAAGTAATTTGGGCCTCTTTAGTGAACACATAAACCTTTATTTAAAAGCATACCGGTAATAGAATTCAACGCACTTGACATTGATAATTTTGCTTAAATTTGTTGTTTCTTCAAGCATGTCAACATTTAGGTAGATTAGATCTATTCCAGTTTTGTTTTTTGTTTTTTTGTAATGGCAATCAGTCAAGAACTGACCATTCAATACCTCTCTTTTATACTCGCTTGAAAATGCTTGTATTTCTATCCTGTTACTCATCATTAACATGATCACACATTTCTTATTAACTTTTGATTGATTGATATAAATATAATACCATATAAGGAGTGATTTTGTAGATTGCCTTGATACGACACTAAACTATGTAGAATAATAACATTCTTTTCACCTCTTTTTAAACTTGCCTGCAGTATTAAAGCCCCACTGTCCTACTTGTAGCTACTTGCTCCCTCTATATAGAAAACTTCCCCAATCGGTGCCTGTTGGTCCCCCATGATCCCTATTTCTTATGTCATTTGAGAGCTGAGTTGATGAGATAGCAAACTGTCAGTGACCTTGCTGTGTGGTCTAATCCCTCCTGGACAAACTAGTGCAGATAAGCTTTAAGCCATGAAGCAATTATTTTACAGAAATCTTTCTTTTTCAATTTTGTTTAGGTTGAAGGAGCTTCATCTCAGTCTGAATGAGTTTAGCAGTGTTTCATCAGGTGACTGCACTCATGACAATCTCAAGCTACTTCAATTCAATAATAATCAAGTGAAGGAGTGGGAAGATGTGAAGAAGCTTGGTGCAATGTTCCCTGGCCTAGAAACACTCATACTCATGGCGAACCCTATCTCAAGACTAGGAGCTAGCCCTGGAGAGGCGTTCCCTAATCTGAAGGTGGTGTGTCTGAGCGAGACATTGGTAGAGTCATGGGATGAACTAGACAAGTTGAATGAATTCCCATCTCTGAAAGAAGCCCTGGTGAAAGGAATTCCCTTGCTATGTGTGACAGGGAAGGGAGATAAAGCAGAGAAGCAGATAAGACAGCTGGCTGTCGCTAGGTTAGGCAAGCTGGAGAGTCTCAACAGAAGTGTTATTACAGAGCCAGAGAGGGAGCAAGCAGAGAGACTGTTTATTAGGAAGTTTAGACATAGTGATGTCAGACCTGCTAGGTAAGCCCTTCTTATAGATGGTCTGCATGGGCCCTGTTCCATGAAACTTGATATCAATAACAAGTTACAAGCTACTGGTATAAGCTACTAAAATCATGGCATCTGATTGGCTGAGAACAAATTTGTCATAGAAATGTATGATTTTTATAGATAACAAGTTTTATGAAACTGGCCCCTGGTTAATTTTAGGCTAGTAAAACAAGTGTTGCTTTTCAGAGGAAAGAAATAACATGTATAAAACATGATTCTAATCATCTTGTAAAAATTTGTATTAATTTTATTTATATTCATTTTTTTACTGAAGTTGTAGACATGGGGGGGGGGGGGGGGGCTCTGGTTACCCACTTACAGGGATTTATGGTATGAATACACTGTACCTTTTCTATGGGGGAATTTTCCAAAATTCAATGCTGAAATATACATGTACTGTAGCTGCATTAATTATGGAAAACCAGGCTCCCAGTCTCCAACCTTTCTCATTGTAATTGTAAAGCATACTGAAGCCCCTTTATGGACTGCACCAAATAATACCCTTGATGAACACATTGACAGATGAATTTCCATGTCAAAAAGAGATTCAGTAAGAACTAGTAACCATCGTTTTTGTATTCATTTTTCTGCGACAGGTATGATGAACTGATTGCTAAACATGGACACATTCAAGAGCTTGCCAAGGTTGATTTAACCCCACGCACTACATTCAACTGTAAGATCACGTATGATGACAGCTCCTATGATATCATCGTCAATGTGAAGGATAATGTTAGGCAACTCAACAAGCAAATCAGAGCAATCGTCGGTCTACCAACAAACAAATTCCGCACGTATTTTAGTTCTACCGATCCAACACACTTGAATAATAATGAGTGGCTTCGCTACCCAAATCGTTTCTTGCATAATTACAAGATTGGTGATGGTGATATTTTTGATATTGGCCCTGCATAGTGAAACTTTTCAATTGAAGATCTGGATACTGGCTACTACTAGAAGCTACGCAGGATGGATTTATAGCAAGTTCAAGGCTCTGTAACACAAAGCTTAGGAAATGATCGTACAATTGATTTCTGCGATTGATTTTTGCGATCGATTTTTGCGATTGGTCGCACATAGTGATCAATGTAATCAAGCATATGATCAATTGCTAAGCTTTGGGTTATGGAGCCTTGAAGTCAAGAGCTAGATACTAGCTATGAATTGAACTTTTCATTCTTATGTTTACGGTACAAGAGTTTTTCATTGTTGTGCTTACAGAGGGGTAATTTCAGCTGATATTTGAGTAATCATCGCATTGATAACTGAATTTTCTCTTTTCCCTAGGCCTATAATAAAGGGATCATCCAATTGATCATGTGGGTGATGGGTTGGGTTCATTGTGGAATGTCTCCTGATAAAGTGACAGATTCCAAGAAGAGATGAGTCGTGAGAAAGGTGTTATTCCAAGCATAGTACCAAAGTATGTAGGGTCAGGAGAATTAACATCTCGACTATGAAGCATTATCATGATACAGAGTAAGCATGGGGTTATTGTCACAACATTGTAATACCTAGCCTTGTTATTGTTTGTGGCTCAGTTTGTGATTTCATGATCATTGGACCATATATAATGCCCTGACTGCCATACATTTAAATCAAAATGTTTTTTCAGCTAATGGTGCTACCAATGAGATCAAGTACGTATTTCACTATTGAATCAATATTTTTGCATCACAGTGATTGGTCTCGGCTTGAATTTATAAAATTTTCTCAGGAAATAATAATAATATTTAATAATATTCCACTTTTATATAGTGCTTAATACAATGTCTCTAAGCGCTTTACAGATATACTATAATCCCGGTCATTGGATTCAGCGCTTGCCCGCACACACTGTGCACAATCTCCACTCCCTGGGGAGCATTCCAGCCAGGCGTTACTTGACGTTCAAAGACTGTTTGACCAACAATGACGGTCGCATCCTACCGGGTACCCATTTAACACCTGGGTAGAGAGTAGCAAGTGCAGGTTAATATCTTGCCAAAGTCAAGCGCCTTAAACCACTTAGCCACTTTCCTGTTTTCTAAGCTATCATGATCATACCATTGATAATTTGCACCTTCTAGTATACATGTAGTAGTCATGCTAGATATCTTACAATGACTGTAAAGAAATGTAGGAAGGAATAATCGTAGGACCTTTGTAGGAACATGTCAAGCTCTTATTAGAATGAGCTGAGAAGAAAAGAAATAATTATTTCAGATGTATGAATGTTTAACATGTTTTGAAACGATATATCTGTCCTTTTGATGTGCAATAATTGAATTGCATTTATGAAAATTAATATATTAAATTGTGTATAAGCTCACTGACAATTTCCAGTAATGTGTTTGCTTTACAATTGATGAATGCATCGTTTATGTGGTGTTGATGTAGGTTGTTATTAACTCGATAAGTCATTTGGCAAGACACTAATTTGTCTTGGTATTGCTACTCTGTTTGCAAGGGAAGAAAATGGGATCCCTGTAATAGGCAAAGGTGTGAAAATGTTGTGTATGTATATGTATATATTTGTGATATATATGAAGCTTTTAAACTAAATGGGGGGGGGGGGGGCTTTATAGCAGCTCCCCCTTAGAAAATATCTTGATCACTTTGAATACTAGTACCTTACTTATAAAATAATGTGACGTGTTTTCTCTTCAATCTTCTCCATCTTTTGATTAACCTGCTAAACTTTTGAAAAGTGGATGCAACATACGCAAAACCAAAGCTTGAGGAGAACTGTCCCTGTAGAGATTAAGTCGCTGATTACCGTTAATCAAGTCCATTCGTTTACGTGCATTTGTCCAAAAGGAGACGTAGATGGTGTTTCCCTGTTATTCGTCAGTTTACACCCCCTTTAGTTCAGAAGAAACCATCATATAAAATAGAATTTTTAAGATCAGTTGAAAGAACTTACTAACAGCTTTCGGTTTGTCCTTCAATTTCATTGTCTGCATTGAGACAGAGGAATAACAAACACTGATTCATTGTTACATGTGTGTATGTGCAAATGTGATGTCTGAAATCACACATTCTTATGCAGTAATATGTGTGCTTTTAAAAAATGTTGTACTTTACAAAGTTTTATTACCTGGAATTTTGTTAATTATGTATTTTTCAATTAAATTAAATGAAATTCTATTTTCGAATTCACTTTTTCCTCTCTTAGTGTGTTCATTATTTTTGTTTTGTGTACAGATATTGATAGGACGATGTGGGGATGGGGATGGGGATTGATGCAGGGCTCCCAGCTAAACGGGAATAAGTAAAAACATTTTAAACAAGTTAACTTCTTGCAGTTGGGGGAAAAGCCTGGATATTCTATTCTATTTGGGGATGGTTGATGATAATCAACTCTAAAATGAGACCTGGAGAGGTGTTGGTGTAAGTGGATTTTTTTTCTTCAGTATGAAAGAAGGGAAAGATATGGTGCATGTCAAACACTTATTCCATCTTTAGGTAAATCCCCCTCAACTCCTGCCAGTTGCTGTAAAATGACTATGGATCAATTGAAACCAAATGGAGATTATTTGTGATAACAGCAGCAATCAAATTTGATTCACACCTTCCTAGATTTAAATACATGCATTGGGAAAATATCACAATTTGCCACTCTCTCTCCCTCTGGTACATCCGTCTCATCTTATTCAAACGTTATAACCTCACCCATCACATAGTGTCTTTCACCGATTTCACAAAGGAGATTTAAACCCTCATGTACATGACTCATGGTTTAAGATTAAGTATACCCTGCCTTGCACGCGTCTAATATTGGACCTCTGACTGTGTGTTTCACTTATTTTGGGCTAATTCTAGACCATGGGTTATGAAAATGAAGATTTAAACCATGGGTTGAATTTAAACCTCCTTTGTGAATTTGGGCCACACTGTCTCACATTCAACGAAAGTCATTGCATCTCCTGTTATCTGTAGGCCTACATGCAGATCACTGTTCTCTAATGCCCCGGTGACACTTGCCCGCATACATACTCTTGCGTGCCAATGCAGGAGGATGCGGGCGGATGCGGGCCGTGCGTGCAATGCGTGACAGAATTTTCAAAATGTTCAAAAATTTGGCACGACAATTTTGTTTGGCAACGTTCGTGAACTATGCGCTGCCTAGTCGTGCCAGTGCGCGCCGATGCGTGTCCGATGGCCTAGTGGCACGCATATTCACGACTAGTTAACGACTAATTTGCGCATAATTTACGCATTGGCTGCGCATACTTCCCGGGCAGTTTTCGCATGCCATGCGCATAGTCTACGAATGCGTGTCCTAGTGGTTACGCATTGCATGAACTATTCGTAAATTAGACGGGACTCTTCGTGCCGCTGCGTGTCACTAATTGGCACGCCACAGAGCGGGGCAGGGCGGGACCAAAATGCGGGCAAGTGTCAACGAGGCATTACTCTAACCCCTAACCTGCTAAAAAATCAACAAAATCAGGAAGTTTATTCAGATATGAATATACTCCCCCGAGCATGGATTTAAATTATTACTTTGTTCAAATATCCAGTGCAATGCTCACTACAACTCGTAATACAATCCCTTCTATCTATCTATCTATATAATAATAATAATAATAATGGGTTCTTGTATAGCGCTCATGTCAGCTCTAGCATTTCAAGGAATAAATTCCTACCCGGTACCCATTTACTTCACCTGGGTGGAGTGTGGCAAATGTAGATCAATGTCTTGCCAAAGGACATTAGTGCGGCGTCGGGACATCATCTACCATGAGCCATCATTCAAATAAACTGAACAAAACAAACAGTAAACAAAGTGTTTCAGGGGAACGTTAAAAACAATTTATTATTCAAGGACAACCAGAACACATTTATTACTTTTTAATCACAAATTCTAAAATGTTTAATGTTTATTAAAATCAACTGCCCTAGAACAGTTGGTCATTTAAAAAAATTCTGATATTTTGCTTGGGGACAGAGAAGAGAGGTACAAGATATATGTTAGTTGATGTTTATCTCTACACCAAACAAAGTACAGTGCATACTAATGTGCATTGATGAGCTATGCCTTCAACCTTAGTCTACACATCAACTGACATAACTCTCTAAATAAATTTCTTATTTCCAAACAATTCACCAAAAAGATAATCTTAACTAGCCGAAAATGGTATCCTGTACCTCATTTTTGTTAATGAACTCTGAATAATTTGTGATAACATCAATGCTTACTAAACTTGCATTTTCTTATATGAAATGCTTCTATATCACCAAATTCACAATATAATTCACCAATTAATAGTTTGATTACAATCATGACGACACCAATGCTACTACCCCGTAGAAGCCTTCTTCTCTCTCAAGCTCATTGATAACCTTGCATTAACATCAACAATATTTCATTCACACAAAGTTGTCACCTGTAAATTCAATACTAACAATATATCTGCATACTTAAACATCAATAAGAGTTTGAATAGAATGATGTTTGAATCAATGAGTTTCTTAAAGAATACTTTTCAATAAGTTTTCTATTTTCAGTCATTTATAAAGCTTTACAATAGAAATTTCAAGTATTAAAATAGTACCATGACAGAATAAAAATCAAATGTATTATGAATAAAAATTTGAGTTTGTTTGAAATTCATATCGTGATGAAGTATGGGTATCTTAAAAAAGCAAGAGTTCCGTGAAGAATCCGAGAGAATGTTTTTCCTGGGCAATGTTTAGTTTGCTTGCACAGGTTATCAGCAAACTTGAGAATGAGAGCTTGGGCTGCTGGCATCTCCAATCGATCTTCCTTGATGGGACGAGAGGGAAGATCTGGTTTAGGGGTTAGGAGCTCAGGAGGAGGGAGAGATTTGAGGATAGCTGTCGTGATAGGGGATGGGGCAGGGCGGTGTGCGCGAAGGTATGACCGTTGACTAGCCGTGTAAGGGTGGAAGTTGGGTGAATGGCTGGATGATTGAGTCATCCTGATTGGTTCAGATGAGGAGGGAGGAGGAGGAGGGGTCGGAGAGGGTGTGGTG